TTTCTTGGCCTGCCAAGGCCTCCTAGCTCTTCCCATGGCATCCAGCAAAGTGTTATAAATAACCAAGTTTGGCTTAGCCCCTATAGCTTTCATTTCCTCATAAACATTCAAGCACCCATCAAAATTCCCCGATTGCCCGTGAATTTTGATCAATGTAGAAAACGTCACTGGATCGATGCGCCACTTCTCAGTCCTAGCTCGGTCATACAAACTGAAAGCCATTTCAACCTTACCGGCACGCCCATAGGCGTCAATCATAGCCGAATAGGTAACATCATCCGGATTACACCCAAAACTGGGCATCTTCTCAAACCACTCCACAGCCTTATCAGGCAAAGAACACATCCTAGCACAACTAATCATAGTCGAAAAGGTAACATTATCGGGTTTAACACCTCTCTGGAGTAGTTGATCGAACAGCTTCTCTGCTCTATCCAAATCCTTACCCTTCCTACACACTTTCAAAGTCACATTGTACAAAATCACCTCCCTCTTGGGTTTCAATCTCTTGTGAAAGTAGTTAAGCGCAAGCAAAGCATTTTCCGGATTGTTCATGTTATTAAGAACAACCACAGCGTCTTGTTCCAAAATATTATCCCCTAAACCCTTTAAAGCTTCAGAAACATCACTTTCAATCGGAGCGCAAGAGTTCAAATACTCAGCTACTTTCACCAAAGAAGCGTACCTGGAATCGTAGGACTTGTGCCGCAGCTGTGAAGCTCTGGGGCTCCTGGGATTGACCCAGACGTAGCTTTTCGACAAAGACCCGGAATTTCCATCTGGGCTCTGAAGACTTTCAATTTCTGAGTCTTTGGGGCTCTGGGCTTCTTCTGCAACCTGGTCTTGCAACGAAACACGGTGTATTTGCAGAGAGGTTGTTGACTGAAATTGTAGCGGAGGAAAACTGAGTCTGTGGGTGTGAATTGCAGAGCTTCTGAGTCGAAAATTAGTCGGGGAAGGAAAAGGGAGAGAGCGGGAGGGAGTTCGGGGGTTGTGGAAGAGAGAAGAGGGCGAAGAGCATAAGTGATAAGCCATTTTCCCTCTCTGCAAGTGTTGACCTCACCCTGTCTGGGATTATGGAAAGGAGGGGCTTTCAGCTTTCCTTTGCTCTGCGTTCCAAACCTCCAATGGATAGAGGGAGACTTAATTTACTATATTAGCCTTATGAGTTTACGGACCCTCTAATATTTCATAGCGGGCCTGGAAGTGATTTTCCGGGAACGGGAAATTTCCCAAGCCCAACTTGAATTTCCAAAAGCCTTACGATTATGTTTAAAGTTGGTTCAAAAAGGTCTTATGATGACCTCGAGGAATCTGTTCTAAGCTTTTTCATAGCAGTCTTATCATCCTTTTACAGGTCTAAACGTTCAGAAGCTTTTTTTACAAAGTGATGTTCAAAAGCTTACGGTGTATGAAAAATGGCATAATATAAAGAAATCATAAATCAATAACGAATTGTTGAGTGTTAGCTCACAACTATTCCAGAAAATGTAACGATGGAGTTTTTTTAATACAAACAAAATTCTATGCTAAACGATAGGGGAAAGAGTTTTAAACCTTAATAAAATAAAGAAGAAGATCTTAATCACCATAACAAATCACCACTTACTGTAAAATCATTTTTTATGAGTTTTTAAACTGAATGATGCTTTATGGTGGGTTTCGTAGAAACGGTACCAGCCTGAATGCAAAGTTGATGTTGGATTAGACTCGTCGGCTTTTGGTATTTGCCGATTTTTGTATAAACATATCAATCCCTCTCCTGTTGTTGACATTGGACTATTGGAGGGGACGACGGATCGAGGGTTGTTAAATAATCTAATGTGTTTAAATGAAATGTGCGGATTGAGAACAATGAAACAATCATGTGATGTGGATGAATAGACTTGCCAATCTTATACGCTCACCGCCAATATATTATCAGCATCCCACCCAGTTTTAAGTTTTGGCCTCTTTATCAACATAATTAATTAACTCTCTAATATTAATCCTTTTAGTACTCGTAATAAAAATTGGAGTAAGAAATTGGATTATGGGTTAAACACCGGCTTAAGTTAATATCTAAATTTATAATTTTACACACGAATTTTAGTAAACAATTGGAATGAAAATCCTAATTCTCACTCCTTTCGATTCAACTAGTCACACCAATTAGAGAATAACTAAACTTTTATTTCATTGAAAATTGTAGCAGCCAACAACTTCATCTTCATGATGTCTCTCTTTCTCTCTAGATAATCAATTATATAATGGACAGATATACGTGATTGTGACTTGACCACCAACATCATCAACCAACTTTATTATTCACTTAACAATATGGTCCTCTGATAATATTAAATATTAAACCAACAAAGACTACTAAAATATTAATCCAAGATTGAACAAGACGTCCCGGTTCAAAGAAGATGATCGATGATTTACATGACTGTGCAAGCTGAGGGATTTTCTTCACTGAAACAATCAGGGCGGGTAACACAGTAGCTTCTGTTTCCACCGCCGTAACTGTCATACACAGGTCTTCCATAGTAACCATCATATTGTATGTATGGGGCAGGCCCACCGCCATAACCATTGTAGCATGGCCCACCTGGATGCCCCTGGTAACAATCCATACAACACGCGTTTACTTGGACAGGCGGTGGGTACCCTGGCACAACAGGACCCGGCTGCACTGGAGGAGGAGAAGGCTTCACTGGCTCAGCCGGTGGCGGTGCAGGTTTTGGCGGTTTCACTGGCTCCGCTGGTGGCGGTGCAGGTTTAGGATTTTCAGGTTCCTTGGGTTTATCTGCCGGTTTAGGTTTTTCAGGCTCTTTGGGTTTCTCTGCCGGTTTAGGTTTTTCAGGCTCTTTGGGTTTCTCAGTCGTCGGTTTAGGTTTTTCGGGCACTTTGGGTTTCTCTGCCGGTTTAGGTTTTTCGGGCTCTTTGGGTTTCTCGGCCGGTGGTGGCTTGGGCTTCTCTGGCTCTTTGATCTCAATGCTTTTTATGGCACCTCCACCTTTGCAGCAAATCTTGTCCCTTATCTTTTCTGGACTACAGCATACCACTTTGATCACCACTTGGTTTTGCTTCTCGTCGTATATCTGGTCTCGTATTTCTCTTGTTCACAAACACACATTTTATTTACTTAGTTTACGTTTTATCCAAAATTAATCTTAGTTTCCCAAAAAGAAAGAACTTTAACTCGGTTGCTCATCTAGTAATTATAGACAACTCAAGGAGAAGAGAGACTCACGGGGGAATTTACAGAGAACTTTTTTGACCTTCTTATAGCATTTGTGACACCCAAGATCCACCTTCAACACCATAATCGTAACCTGGACTACCCATTTTTAATATTAATGAAAAAAATTTGTATATATATTAACCAAAGATTGACAAAAAAAATTCATATAATATACAGATGATTGTTGTGCAGAAGTGTAGACAAAAAGAAGTGGAATATAGTGCTGCTGCAGAATAGGGTTCTGACTGACAAGGAAGAATCATGGTGAAATAGTATGTGGCAAAATGAAGAACATAGAGAGAGAGCGCGCGAGAGCCAAAAACAATAAATTAAATAGCAGAGCAGAGGACTTGGGATTCTTATCAGGATACAAAAAAATAGGAACCACAAAAAACAAATAAGAGCTTAAAGTCTTTTAGTTTTCGCCATGCAAATCATCATTGGGTAAGAAGAAGAAAATGAGCAAAGAACACAAACTTTACCAAATATTACGTACCTTTTCCTTTTCCCCCATTGCAGTGAGTAGCGGATGCTTTCAGACTCAGATCTGAACCAGAACCTCTCAACTAAAATGACTGAATGGGACTGCCCTCACTGAACCAACTTTTATATCTATACATAGATATATAATTCGGTGGAACAAACTACAAAGCAAAGGGAGGAGAAGAAGAGAGGAATATTTGATTGAAGAATTATGGCAAATTGCTTCTTAAGAAAGAGTGAGTGAGAGAGAGAGAGAGAACAATAGTTCTGTACACAAATGGCCAATGACATGCGAACACGTTGATATGGGAAGATTGATTTCTTGGTATGATGATTGAGGGTTGTCGTTATATGAAGGTAGTGGCTTTCTGAAGATCGCTAAAAGTTGCAAGTTTTTTGCATATGCATGTGCTGGCTTCGATTCACCCACGTCACCTTCCATACTTTTTCCAACGTCCTGCCAATATCAGTTTAAGTAAATGATTCATCATGATTCCATTATCAAAAGTAAAATTACATCCTAAGCTAGCTAATTGTAATTATTAAAGTACAGAGTTTGGTGTGGAGGAGAAACTGCCAATATTATTTCATGATCATCAAGTTAATTGAAATAAACTATATTCCAAGGTCGATAATTATGGATCATGCACCCCCACATGGCACATGGAAATTCCTCCAATTGTCCCTAGATCTAAGTACCCGCTGCCACCCATCTTGAAATTTGGTTTGTTAATCTAAACCGGTGAAGAAACGTCTAGTAACTCGATGCAACTGGGAAGCCATTAATGTTAAGCAATCCGAAATTCTTATGACAATTGTCAGAAAACCCATTAAAGAGCCTCATACCCACACGATAAAATATTTGAGGGTTCAGTGGTGGAACAAAATACGTTTGATTTGTTAAGTGCCAGTTAAGACTTATACTGATATTTTTAGGACATCAAACTTAATTAGTGAGATGGAGACTGCCTCAATAGCACTATTGCCGACAATATATCATACATGGATGAACATCGTCTACGTAATGTGGAATGTCGATTGTGTTATTATAAAATTTGTGAAAATGTAACAAAGCCTCTTTATTAAGTGCGTTACACAATTTGTACCGACATATTTATGAGAGTTTCAAACGGGAACAGTTGGAAATTATTGAGATCGAAATATACAGTAAAACAGTAACATAGAAAAGAAGTCTCCAATAGACTTGTGTACCAAGTAAGGTAACTCTCATGGACTTGGCTATCACTCAGATATATTACTATTGCTTTTTGTCTCATATAACCGTAACCGTACCAGATAAGTAATTCATAGAGGTGTGGGATCTGCCTCATACCTCACACGATAGTGTTTGATCAATCCGATTTGATCTTTTCTTATTATTTTAGGGTTCAGTGGTCCATTTATTTTACTAAAATATATAGCATACAATTAAACAAAATGTGAGGCTATATATGTACCTTCCAGATTTGTTAAGTGCATAACAGCTCATTCATTTTTACATAAGACTTGATATGTTTCGTTTCGATGCAACCGATATGGGTTGGATTAGTGGACATAAGACTTTGTATTATATTATATTTTATTAGTAATTTACTTAATTATCTTTTTGGTGCAATGAGATTTGGAGACTAGAAAGTACTACACTACACACCCTAATAATACTCAATAGCACTGTGTCGGTGGTGTATATTGCCTGGTTACTAATAATTCACAATTTGTGGTTACGAAGTCGCTTCCGGGATTGCGGTGATACAAAAAGTGGTGAATTATCTATACAACATGCATGGATGTGTGCTGAACTTAGGGTTGAAAATCGTCAAGATAATGATGTACGTAATACGTGCCGGTTCAATTAATCTTCTTATTTTATACAACACTAATGTGTGTTGTCTTGTTATTTGATTGAATAATAAAAGTTATTATCATTTCCTAATATTTGTGACCTCAGCTTATCATTCAAGAAATATAATTTTATACTAATAGTTTTGTTATCCTTTGGCTCTTTATTAAGTGCGTTACACTTTAACTTTGTCTCCTTGATTTGATTTTATTTATTAAAAAAAATTCATTACAATTGTATTTTGAACATATTTATGTTTTTTCATTCATTTCTTTTTTAATTTTTACTTTGAGTTTCATTTTTTTGTTGTTTGTGGATGCACGGGATCAGTTGTTGAAATTATTGAGATAATCTCACATCAAGAAAAAATGAAACTTTATATACGTTTATAAGTAGTTAAACCAGTAACTTATAAGAAAAATTAATAGAAAAGAAGTCAAGAGTGTACCAATATGTTGTCTTGTGTTTTGAACTTGTGAGTACCAAAGTAAGGTAACTCTCATGGACTTGGCTTCTCTACCCTCCTACTTCTCATACACTTTCATTTCTTCCTATTTGTACGATCACGGTTAAGTCACGTCAACATTATATATTACTATTGCTTTTTGTTTTTATCTCTATAAAAAAATAAATATAAAATATTAATATAACTTAACCGTAACCGTACAAATAGAAAAAAATGAAAATGTATAGAAAGTAGAAGAACAGATAAGCCGGTCCAACTCTCATAATAATAAGCGCAATTGGACTCGGGAGGGTGTGGTATTAAACTATATATCCACCCACCAATGATGAAAAAAAGAAAGAAAGCCGTAGGATTAGATTAGGGTTTGAGAAATGATGAGTGGTGGGGACACAGCCTTATCCAAACCGTTAATTTTTGGTGCCGACACTACTTTACTCCACCCATGATTGAATGGGCTTTGGTAGCTTCAACACGCACACCAGAGGCGTAACTTTGAAAGAGGCTTATTATATAGATTACAAGGAGTATTTATCAATATAGAAAAAAATTAACGTTTAATTTTAAAAATGTCACATTTTATAAAAAAATTTTAAATGTATTCAAAATTTCACTTAAATAAACATAAATACCTTCAAATTTAACAATTAAATAAATTAAAGGTTTTTTAGCTACTATCGCCTTAAGCTCCGGTCCAACTTCACCCTTGCTTCTACACTCCACCACCACAACCCTATACCCTTTGACCCCCTCATCACCGACATTGAGCGGCGCCGCGGTTACTACAAGTGGGAGGAGCATAATTTCAATCATGCATTCAACGTCTTTTTTCTTAGTAATATCATTTTTAGTTTTAAATATAAAATTAGTTTTTAAAGTTAATTTACATGTCGTTATATGATTGTATTTGTGAGACCCACGTGGCACCACATCATCACACTAACAGAACAATTGACAGATTTTTCACAAAAAAACTAAAATGATCACGATGGACAAATTCAAAGAAAGACTAAAATGATTCACGATAGACAAATTCAAGAACACTACTATTGATTATCATTAATTATTAAAGACCAGATTAAGGAGTTATGACAATATCACGAATCATTTTGGCTAAAAAGCCTTTAATTTATTTTATTGTTAAATTTGAGAATATTTGTGTCTATTTAGGTGGAATTTTGGATATATTTAAAAGATTTTATAAAAAGTGATATTTTTGAAATTAAGAGTTAATTTTTTGCTATATTTGATAAACACTCGATTACAAGAGCGTTAATGTACACTTTTGATAGCATGAGAGAAAATTCAAAGTTAGTAAATAGAAACTACCATGTTGAATTTGGGCCGATGCTAAAATTGTGGAGCCCAGATTTGTGACAATTTAAGATGGATTTGAGTCACCAGACTGACATAACCCAACAGAGTTGGCAACGAATACAGTACAACCCACCTACCTAACAAAACCCTAAATCTTAACGCACAAAACCCTTTTAGGATTTGACCCTTTGGGTCGAACAGTTTAATATAAGCTTCCTGGCTCAAAAAATGATAAACCATGCAACCAATAACCATATTCTCTTGTATAGTGCACTGTACAAGGGAATTATCAGCGCTGTCTATACAGTCTACAGAACACATTATAGTTAACATATATTCCAGCTCTTTCATCTCATCTCATTCTTATAACAGATCAAAACGTTTGTGTCCCATATAAGAGATGAATGGTGTTGGTCTGTCCCATATACTGACCCCATTCCCATGGGAGAAGAAGAAGTTGATATTGCAATTGATCAATTCAGCAGCTGAAGGGAAAAAATTCACAGAGAGTAAAATATCATTCCCGACACAAGTCCAAATGATCAAACCCCAAAGGTTTGAACATAGGGAATTTGGAGTGCCGTGCTAGTGCTCCTCGCTATAAGCTACCCTACCATAACACATATCACATACGAGTAGTATGAAGAAGTTATTTCGGGCTTCTGTGTAGTCAGGTTTTCGGCTTAATGGCCTTTTGAATTTCGTTGACACATTTCATCTATTAAGTTGCAAAGGACCGCTTTCCAATTTATGACAGCATCGTGGAATTATCACGAGCTTTTGCTTTCAGGATTCTAATATCAGATATCAGAATCATCTTTTGATCCATCTAACGCCCAACCGCTTTCCCCTTGCCTTCTTTCTTCTTTACCCTTCCTTGTTTTTATATGCATATGAATATAGCATATAACTAAACTTATTTCGGCTATATATTCGTTTGAATCACATAAGGCTCTAAATTGGAAAATTACTGAAATTTCTAGTTGGTAATTGTGCGAGTTGAATCTAGAGTGCCACTTTGATCTGCTGGTTCGCCTACTACCTGTTTAGGTTTCTTTGGTAAATAGATACCAGTTAGGGTTTGCAAACAAATTTTGGCAAACGACTGATCTCCCAACGCTTTGTTGCATGTTTAAATGGATTATATACTGATCTACAAAGTTTGTTAATTAGTACTTGTTCATTAATTTCATTCGTATCGATTTGGTTAAATAAAGTGAGTGCATGGGATATTCTTTGGTGATTGATTGGGTGCCAAGGGCCAACTTGGTTACGTGAAGACAGGAATCCTTCCCTCTCCCTCTCCAAATACCAATCACCTTTTCTTTTCATCTGCCTTTTCCTTCCTGGTTTACTGCTACTTTCATTTCATGACATGGGAAACTAGATGACGATAATGTTTATCATCACAATTCACAGAGAGACACATAAAGACACACAGAGAGAGTCACAGACATAACATAACCCTCGAAGAGTGAGCGAGTGAGTGGTTTCCATGAGATGGGTCCCGCTGGATTCCACTACCTCTTTCCAGATGTTGATGGCCTTCCCATTTCCCAGGGCAATTTGATATGAAGAGATTTTTCAGTATGATCGAACATGTCATCACGGTTATTATCAAATGGAGATATGGTGTAAAGTTAAACTTAAAATAAAATTCATTATTCAAAAATACGTGTGTGTATTCCCGTCATAATAAAAATTATATATCTAATATGGGCTTTTAGTTTAGTCACTGATATTCATGGGAGACCCCTTGGAAGCTACACACATTTTATAGCACCTCTTAACAAATGGTGAGGAGAAGAGCTGTACAGCCTTATTCTGCTCCACATGTATAATCGTTTTTCTTATTCTTTATCTTTTTTTTTTTTTTTTTTTTGATCGTAAGAGAACAAATGCTTTCTTCTTTGTCTTCTTCTAAAATAAGTAATCACAGCCCATCCTATTTCTAGCTACACACAATTTTATAGCACCTCTAACAAATTGAGTGAGGAGAAGAGCTGTGACAGCCTTATTTTCCTGCTCCACATGCATAATCGTTTTTCTTATTCTTTATTTTTTATTTTTTTTGTGCTGATCGATCAAGAGAACGTAATGCTTTCTTCTTTTGTCTTTCTTCTAAATAATGTAATCAACATTCCAAACATAATAATCAATAAACTCCCATTTTCTCCTAAAGCGGAGAAAAAAACTAATTTTTTTTAATTATTATTTGTTGACCCTAAAAACTACCAAGCCTACGTGGCGCGCAGGCCGAGTAATCTATAAGTTAACTACGTCATTCGATGAATGCGGGGCGTGCCAACTCGTCAGCCGAGCTCGGCCGAGGAGTAAATTTGTTGACGTTGCGTTGGGTGCGCGGCTGACTTCTGCGTCTTGCGATTGCGACCGAGGAAGGAACATGTCTCGGCCTTTTGGGTTCTCGAACCTAAAGACAAGACTATTATTCTTACGAAGTTCACAATTCGTCGTCGTCAGATTCGGTCACAGTGCTGTTATTCGTCAGAGTAAACTCACACCGAATCGACACCAAAGTGTAAGAGCACAAATACTCAAAGCGAATATAATTCTTAATAGTGAACGTGGTTCGGTCGTCTGAATGCCGAACTCTAAATCCCACTTGAGAGTATCCAATCATAAAATAACTCGGTGTGCAATGCGCCGAGCTCAGTAAACTGTAACACCTCACTTCGCCAGAGAAAGCTAATGAGATGACCTCAATCAATAAGGATTCGGAAATCCTTCTCGACCGAGACTTGGATAGGTAACCAACCGTCCTCGCCGCAGTGCTGTTGATACCAACGGAAGATGCTGCGAGATCGGCTGATTTTACGGCAACAGAGATATCTATGCCGACTTAAGATATCACTGGTTGCTTTCACAGTGCTGTTAATGCCAACGGAAGATGTGTCAGCGAAAAGAGAAAATAAAAATCTCAAAGTTGTTGAGAGAATTTGCGCAGGGCAGTTGTGTGTTGAATTGGAAGGGGCCTTCGAACGATGTACAACCTCCTCTATTTATAGCACCAGATACCTTCAAGGTCGAGTTAAAAACCTACCCGGATTAGGACTTCTTCTCATGATCAAATACTAACTCGACTAGTCCTATTTTCACTATAATTGTGAACCTAGTCCTTTATTGAGCCGGATTCACTTCCGGGTTATTAATCTTGCCGAGACTCCTCATTGCACCAAGATTCGACTCGTCATGTAGCATGACTTAACCAACCTAGGTTTGGAAGCCCACGACCTAACCAATCCAGAACTAAATGATCCCTGCTAACCCTGTCGTAAGGCCTTCTGGGATGAGAATAATTCTATACTCGGCCCAAACTGATATTTTGGGCCCAAACATTATTATTATTATTATGGGAGAGAGGGTTTGAAACTATGAAAATAATTTAGAAAAGAATGCGGTTTTGAACTCGGCACAATAGATGAAAACCCAAAACTATATCCAATAAGATAATGTACCACATGTGGAGAAAAAAAACTAATTATGTTAATTGCTGAATAAATTAAATATAGTGTTTTTTATTTTTTTCAGTTTTCATGCCGTGATTCTTGAAACAACATCGTGTTAAGTTTGTAGTTAGATTCAAATAAAAGATCAATGTTGGGATCAAAACGTTCAATATGAGCATTGTACAAACGGGAAGTGAATTTTCGGCACTCTCCTATTTTTCATGTACTTTTTTTTTATTTCTGTAAAATTGTATTGAATAAATCAAAGAATAATACAATGAGGCCCGTCTGTCAGAGATGATTGATTTCAAGATGATTATTCATTATATTGAAGGCATTTTGAAGAAAAAAATGAATCTCAATTTTATATTTGATCCAAGTTAAAGGATAACATTTAACTTGGACAATATAAGAAATTTGTCAATCATATTTTTCTTCAAAATGTCTTCAATATTGTGAACAATATTATCTAAAGCTAACTCTCTCTAACCAGCGAGACCTGAGTGTATAAAAATAAGAGGAGTGTAGAAATCATTGACAAAATAAATCTCAAAGATCCAATTATTGTCGATTACATAAAGGTAAAGAGAAAAACTAAGTTGATTAAAGGCTGACATTTGATTCGAAAAAAGGTCTTATCTGCACTTTATCTTAATAGTGTCGGGAAAACTTTTTGTTTGATTGCAAAACTGAAGTTAGTGATGTAGGAGGAGAACCTTATCAGGATTCAGGAGCTTTTAGGGTTGGCCAATCATTTCCCTTTGGTGATTACATGTGTGTATATATCAAAGCAATGCAGTATACGAAAGATTTTTTAGTGTGCTCGGAACATGGCACATTAACAAAATCTCTCACACTATGCAAATGCAATGTATACAATCGATCATAGCATTTGACCCCTTAATCTAAGGTTTTGTCCTTTTAATCACCTCAAAACTTTCCTTAAAAAAATCAGATCGTTATACAAAACCATCATATCCACCCGTGACCCGCCACTGCTTTTTCGTCCAGGCCGGCTAAAGAGATCAATCACATGCATTAACGTTTGTGTTCTTATTTGACCATGAAAAATTACTGAATTTATACCCAACGATTTGAGTAAAAAGATATATTTCTACGTAAACATTTACTCCTTTTGTCAGGGTAAAATGATTTTTGTCCCTACCCTGCCTTTAATACCAACAGTAGTATGAATGATCATGCAGTTCATTTCGAAGGAAAGCAGGGGCAATTTGTGAGAAGCTGAGTCAGCATTAAACAATTCCACGTCGGACACGTAGAATTCTCACGTACTTAAATGTCCTTTAGCTTCTTCACCCACACCCCAGAAAGGAAAGGAGAGATAAGAGACCGACCAAGAGTTAGAGGAGAGGAGTGAGATAAAGAAATAAAAGCAAAAGAGTGAATATTTCATCGCATTTTCTTTCCAGATTGCATAACATATTTGCATCCATCTTCATTCAAACTTCTGAAGAAAACTACTTTCAGAATCACCAGAGAAATGGGCGAAGTAAGTATTTGGCCGACGCTTTGTTTTATTCACCAGCTTTATTTATGTGTGTGTGTGTGTGTGTGTGTGTATGCGATTTGAACAGCTTGCTGTATTTTTTGAGATATTTCAAATTTTTTTCCAATATTCTTGTTGGTTTTTTCTTGTGTATTAGACATTAATTTGTTTGGGCAGAACAAAGATTAGCTTCATGTATTAAGTGGCATTTTATAAGTTTAATCTTCTAGTTGATTTTTGTTTTGATATATATTTTGTATGGAAACAAATTAAAGGAGAAGAAAGAGGAAGAGAAGAAGGAAGAAAGCAAAGATGAAAAGAAAGAAGAAGAGAAAAAGGAAGAAAAGAAAGAAGAAGAGCCTCCGGATATTGTACTCAAGGTTGATATGCATTGTGAAGCTTGCGCAAGGAAGGTTGCTCGAGCCTTGAAGGGTTTTGAAGGTAAACTTGTTCTTTTCCTTATTATTTCCATCCTTAATTTTTGAATTCTGAGAACCTCTCCCTCATCAATTTTTTGAATTGTATAAGAATAAAACAAATTGAGCCAGGAAAATACATATAATTTAGTTTAAAAGTGTTTTTGTATTAGCGTAGTTCATGTTTCGCACGTTTTTCTTGAAGAAAATACTTTTCAAGTGTATTTCTTGTCGTTCATAATTAATCAGAAAGAAATTAAAAAGGTACGAGGAGGGGTTAGTGCAAGTAGTTTGAATTTTGAGTATTTGAATGTAATTAATTTGTGGTGGACGCTGGTGGGTGGACTGCAGGAGTGGAGGATGTAACGACAGACAGCAAGGCAAGTAAGGTGGTGGTGAAAGGGAAGGCGGCAGACCCCATAAAGGTCTGCGAAAGATTACAAAAGAAAAGCGGCAAAAAAGTGGACCTCATTTCACCTTTGCCTAAACCACCAGAGGAGAAGAAGGAGGACCAACAGGTTAAAGAAGCTGACAAGGAAGAGAAAAAAGAGCAGGTAATTATTTCAAAACCTACTTTCACATTTTCACTCACTATTTTTTCACGCACCGGGTCTCCACCATAAGATTGTCGTTATATATTACTAATGAGACATTAACATACTCATGAAATAATCATATATTTTAACCTACCTTCCACGGCTTTACTCGCTCCAATCTCTAGTCTATGATCAGGAGAGAATTTTTAATATATTAGAACACGAAGTGGTACGTCATATGTTTATTATATAAATAGAAAAATATATTTTTAAGTTTTTTTTATTTGTATAATGACATATACGTATGTATCTGTGTTCGAAGACTAAGTACTGGTTTGATACTGATGTGCTTTTATAAAAAATGGGTGTAAAAAACAGCTGAGCTCAAAAAAGTGTTTGGTAAACACTTAAAAACAGCTTATTTTCATAGTTTTACATGAAAAAAAGCTGAAAACGTGAAGAATAAAAAATAAGTTTATTCTTACAGCATAACATAAACAGTTTTTTTTAAAGCACATAAATACTAAACCAGCTCAAAGGGTCTCAACTATCAGTCTCTGCTACTTTTGTGTTTTTTCTGTGATCCTGATCACCAAGCGCATATATATATATATTTTTTTTTTCTTTTTTTAAACAAACTATATTATTAAAACTAAATGGTAAAGAATGGGCTAAAACTCATAATAAGATAGTAATAATGTGATTCAAATTCGTTTTTGACGAGAATCGAACCTAAGACTTCTCACTTATTAATAAAAAAGATTATCATTAGATTGTGGTAATATCTGGCAGATCACTAAGCATATTAAGTTCAAGTTTGAACGAATTAATTAGGGTTTTTATGGATGGTGACTATATGGTCCTATGGATGGAGGAATGGGGTAGGCTCGATTCTCTAGAACAGTGATATCGTGACTACTGTTTTAAATACTGACATGAAAGTAACAATTCGAAGTCAGCAAATTACAGCCCCACCTCCACGAAATTCACTATCCACGTGCAAGTCCCTCACAAGAAAAAATTCTTAGGCACATTAGAGTATTATATTTCAAGTGTTTTAATCATTAATTCTTAATTTTTTAATCTTTAAATAAAGATTTAACCATTAAGATACTTAAAATAACAGAATATCAATTAATTTGAATTGGACGCTCGTATTCTTATATTAGAACATGTTATTTATGTATTTTATTAACCAAATAAAATATACATGTATACTCTAACGTCATTTAACATGTGTTCCTCTTGAGATTTTGTGTTATACCAAAGACACCAGCCATACCATACTATGTTGTAGTTACAAACATATGCTGTAGCAACCATGGGCAATTGGGCATTGGCCATGAGTGCCGGGGGTCACGGGCACATGTTGCAGCCCCAATGTAACATGGAAAACATATGCCCTCCTACGACTCTTAGGCTATATATAGCTATAGCTCTTCCTTATGTATGATTTAACAAATAAAATAAAAGAAACATGTGCTCTACTCCCACAAGAGCCACGATAATACACATCTTTATAGTGCATATGCAGACGTAAATTGCAATAGCATGCATGCCATGCCATGGAGGCTGGTTGTCGTATATTTAGTCTGTTGAATCAGTATGCATCCCACTTCCTCACATTGGGAGTTGCGATTGTTGGTATCACATGTCCATCTTTACTCTTGTCCTTTATACATTGGACCTTGAACTACCTTTGCCTTATAGATCAACACTACCAATGAAATAAACAAATCTAATATTAATATATATATATATATATAATTGTTATCGACACTTTAAAAATCTCATTTTGCATTCAAATTTTTTATAATAAGAAAAAAAAATACATTTATGAATAGTGTAGAATGAGATTTTTTTACTGATAATAACAGTTCTCTCTCTCTCTCTCTCTCTCTCTATATATATATATATATATATAGGAGATCTGTATTCAAGAAACCAGTGATGTACGTAGAAAGTACACAAGTATATGGCCAGAGAAGACAACGTAATTAGACCAAGAATCTATATATGTAGTTCAAGTGATAATGCTTAATCAATTAGTTAAACCCGATCTTCTGGTAAAGAATCAATTATTTGATCATATTATTCAGAATTTTATCTCTGAAAAGTGAGAAAGTATTTATATATAATTCAACGTTCTCTTGTCAGCCTCCTGCTGTTGTTACGGTGGTATTGCAAGTTCGAATGCACTGCGACGCCTGCGCTCAAGTTCTACAGAAGCGAATTCGAAAGATCCAAGGTACTTTTTCCGTATAATCTTTCTTTCTCTAAGCCTACATATATTTGTTTCAATTCAATTAATATAAGTCTTCTTTAATACCGCATGCATAGCGTACAGATGTAGTACAAATAGTTTTATTCAAATGAAAAATAAATAAAAAATCACACATTATGGGTTTGGGATTTAATACCTGGGGGTAGTGTAGGTGAGACGCGATTCCTGTTGGAAATTTAATATTATTATTATATATTAAATTAATTGAATGGAAATTGATAGTGGTGTCTTTTGGTGGAAAATGTGTCCCTCAAAACATAAAATTCAAATGACAAGCTCTATGAATAAAGAAAGTCCCATATATTCATTTAATCATTTTTCACATCATATTTACATATCCATTCACTCGCCTTATGATTTAGAATGCTACTATTACAACGCCGATCAATCATGAACACCGTAGTAGGGCGTAAACTTGCTTTAAAAACAAAATGTCTAACATTTGATATTATTTTCCATCATGAATATGCATTAAATTTGATTTTAGTTGAATGAATTATTTCTTATTTTACATGTGATTAATATAGCAATTAAACCCTATAATAATAGAACGCCTGCAGGGCAAGTACATCTTTATCCGAATGTAATTAAAGCGCAGCCTAAATTGTTGAACTATTTTACCAGATCAACATGTAATATTTTGGAGGGTGCATTTTAAATTAAATATTGCAGGAGTGGAATCAGTGGAAACAGACGTAGCTAATAATCAGGTTGTGGTAAAAGGCGTAGTGGACCCGGCGAAGCTAGCTGAGGAGGTGTATAAAAAAACCAGGAAGCAGGTTTCTGTTGTGAAGGAGGAAGAGAAGAAGGAAGAAGAAAAGAAAGAAGAGGAGAAGAAAGAAGCCGAGAAAGAAGAGAGACGAAAGAAGGGGAGGAAGACAAGCAGGGAGAGGATAATAAGGTCGATATCAAGCGAAGTGAATATTGGCCGACAAAGTACTACTCGGATTATTCATCGTATCCAAACCCTCAGATTTTCAGCGATGAAAACCCTAATGCATGCTCTGTTATGTAACTGCTATATATGTATATGCGTGCAGTAAGACATGCATGCCTAAATCTGCAATTTTCTACGTACATGTGGAAATTAATAATTGAACTATTAACTATTGCAACTTATATATTAATTAAGAGTGTATGCATGCCATCCTTGGGCATCAATCCGATATATATATATATATATATATATATATATAAGTTTACATTGGTCGATGTTTGAATTATGTCGTCATGTAATAATGTAATTTTTTTTAATACTACATAGTATTGAATAATACGTGAAATTAATGACTAAGATTAAAAAAAAGAAGATCTAAGTAGGTGTAAAAATCAAATCTGATGACTAAAATTCTCGTAACATTGAATGATACGTAATATTGAAGTCTTACCCGTAATAATGAGTTCCTTGACCTAGTTTGTATCGGATGCTCTAAAGAGTTTAACCCTAATTGTGAATTCTAGTGTGTACTCAGGTGATATATAAGTAAGATCAAGAAGCTCCTTCCTTAATTTGATGCGTGAATTATTAGAACTGTTGAACATTGTGATTAAAGACAGATAATTAATCGATTGAAAGAAGAAGATCGAAGGTATAGAACATGTGCAGTGGGCATTGGATTTTTTAATTTTTTTGGGAAACGTAAGTATTGGATCTTTTCCATTTAGATAATTTGATTGTTTTGTTTCTTATTTTTCTGAAAAGATTGTTATTTTAATTTGCTTTTACCTTATGTGGTGTACCTATAAGGGTTGCATCATTTCGTCTTTGGGAGGTATAAGATTGATTAGACATATAAGTGTTTTTTAGACTACCATTTGTATATAATCAATTGAAGTATGAATCATTTTAATATGTGATTATTTGCACCTATTTATTAATAGCAGCGCTACTGTTTAGGTGCAATTTTAACATTCACCCCTCCTAATTATTAGGTGGGAAAATTCTCAATTTTTGCCCCTATTTCTGATTAGTAAGCGCGAATGTATTGGTCACTACTTGTTCATAGTTTTATGTCCATTTTTCTTGTCAAGGAAACTGATTGTCAACCTTAATTGCCTAATCGACTTCCTCTCCCAGTATAGCTTACTCACCACCAGTTGATCAATATCAAAGAATATTTGTTTGTTTGACTCCAATGTATGTGATCGCTTAAGATTTTGAAATGGTGACGAACCTGCTATGTATCATGGTATGATACATAGAAATCTTGAGTTTAACATAAACCTAGCTAAGAAATTATAATGAACCCTACCTACTTAATCTAGGCTTGTATTGAATGTCATCTCTTATTGCGGGGATCGGACTACGTATTAAGACACTCGACGGCTCGAGTAAACCTTCTCAGTGATGAATCTTAAATTTCAAATTGACCATCTATTTTCAAATTTTATTAGTTTGGTATGAGCGTGCATGATGAAATTCTTGGAACTCTAGTGAATTATTTTCATTCCTGATAATTTTTATTAGATAACATTGAGACAAGGAAAAAGTAGTCATGATACATTAAGGGGTTTCTTCATTTTAATCCTTGATAAAGATTGAAATTCAATTAAAACCTTATGTTAGATTATATATTCATTATAGTCCTTTGACTAAATTTCCATGTCAGCATAAATATTAAAATTTATATTTTCTTGTTTTTAAATATTTAATGTTTTTTTTTGTTCATATAATAATGCCCCTATTAAATATTTGATTTTAATTTGCTCCACATTTTTTGGCATTGATTATTGTCTGATTTTCTAAAATGATAAACATAATTAAAAAAAATATTAGTGATACGTTACAAGAATTAACAAATACCTAATTCAAATTATTCATTATCACCATTCAAAGCATAGAGGAAATATAAATAGCCAAATCATAGTACCAAGTCAAATACACCTAAACAATGCTACCTATATGAATGCACCTAAACCATGGTACCTATATGAATGTACCTAAATCACAGTACTTATATGAATGCACTTAAATCATAGTACCTATATGAATGCACCTAAATCATTTAGGTACTGTCAATTAGGTCCTATCCATTCGGTACGGTCGATTAGGTACTATATAGTGTATGTCCAATTAATTTGATACGATCACTTAAGTTGTGATTTCACATTCTATTTTCTTAATTTGTATTTTTTTTTCATTTATCTTTGGATTCACCGTCAATTTGGCATCTAAAAGCCCATTTTTTCTTCTTTCTTCCGAATACAACGATGGTTTGTAAGTTTTATGGCTTTTTTCGTTTGATCATGGTTTCTGAGTTTTCTGGGTTCTTTGATTGGAATAACACATGGAGGTTTATGTTATAACAAACATGTTAATTATGGATCTAGTTAATTAAGCATCCTTGAAAATTAATTATATTATTTGTTTCTCTAATTGGTTTTAAGAGAGTAATAAGGGTAAATAGGGAAACTAAAAATGCAATAAATTTATTAAAAAATGATTAAATGTGACATGGAATACTATAATCTGACATGGAGGACTATTTTTAGTTTTTAATCTTACATATGGTATTATTGAAAAAACAATCTTATTTAGGGATTAAAATGAAGTTTTCTATACATTAATCTATAACGAGTTCCATATATTTTGAGCAAAATTGTTTGTTAAAATGGCAGCAAACATATTCAGGATTTTTGGGGTTAATGAAAAAACATATACTGGGCTTGAACATGCATGGGCTAAAAAAAGAGAAGAGATTGGACATATATTATAGGATTATATGCTATGTCGATCGATGTACAGAACTCTCAAGTGCATGTAGAGGCACAAAAATATTAACGGTTGAAATTAATTCCAATAGTAAAGTCAGTGGAAGAAAAATGAAACAAAATTGGACAATCAAAGTTAAGAAACCCACATGAATTGGCTGGAGAAAGATATTAATAATATGACAGCCACTCGTCTAATTACTGGAGAAAGATACCCCCACCACCCCCAAAGCCCTGTCCTCTTTTGTGCTGGTGGTCTGTGTCAAATGTCAATTTGTATTATTTGTCAAGGCCGTATATAGCCAGTGATAAGTGGTGACCAAAACAGTGATGACCTGAGATCCGTTTTCCACTCGATCGATGCAGAATGTATTCATATATTATGGACCATGCACGATAACTAACATATGGTCCTATCTTAAAAGAAAAAGTATCTGCTCAACTAGGGCTGCTCTTTTAGCTTAGTTGGAAACATAACATTGAGAATATAATATTATTAGAATGTGTATATGTATTTAACATAAAATCAAAAGCCAATATTAAGATGGAACGACCTATTACTGTTTAAATTATTAAGGCAATACTTTATTTTCAACACTATCCCACTCGAATTCAACTCACCGCGTTTAAATTTCATACCCCTCCTCCTCTTAAGAGTATATTGCTTGCATTAAAACAAAATAAAATAAAAACTGTCTCGCTCCACCGTGAAACATTGGCAGTTAGAAATAAAACATTGCTCAAATTGACACATGTGAATATGAACGAATTTACAAATGAAAACTTAACGGGGCATCAAAGACAGATAGATATATACATATATGGAACTACTTGAGTGGGAACGACGAAGCGAGCTGGCTTTATACGATAGGGGGCCGGGTCAGGTCAGCACACAGCGTTAGACCACAAAGGCATTGCCTTGGAAGAAATAGTGGAATATCGTCAAATATATAATGGTGGTGGACCATGGATGGGATCTCGGGAGATCAATCTTAACCGAAAGGTGAAACAGACTGTTTGGTAGTATACGCCTACTTAGGTGGAGCGATCGAGCAAGCGTGCTACGCGTTGGGTTCAAATTTGGGTGGCATTGTTGGAACCTAGCTTCGCAAGCTTGAAAATCACAAAAAGCTAGATTGTCCAATCTCTAACTCTCCAACTGCCATTATGTATATATCAGGCCCAACTTATACTGCGTGGACTACTGGCTCTCCATTGTTTTAGAACAAATGGACGAGGCAGAAATAGAATCATGCATGGGGGAGTATAGATGTAGTTATGTAAATAAACTTTATTATGTCATGCCATTTAGTCGTATTGTAAGGTGAGATTCATTACTTAATGTCTAATATATATATTGGGGTTATGTTATCAGGGGGAGGTTAGAATTAAGGTAGGTAGACTGCGACAGAGTAGCGACGCCACATCTATTTTTGTTTTGCAGCAATAAATGCAATGTCTTAATTATTTATATGGAATTCCTTGTCCCAAATATTGGCAGTTGGCAGGCAGGTCTTTTTCTTATTGTGAATGCCGCGACTTCATTTGGGTACCCAATGCTCATCCAAAAACTTCATACATCATACATGAATCACAAGTTTAGAAATCTGACAAAAATTAACATATTAGAACCAAGAAGCAACTTGATGCTCTCGTATTGGTCTCCACATATAACAACGTATAGTTGTAGGGCCAATCAAATAATTAATGGATAATTTCACGTGATATAAATAGTACACTTTATAAACTTGTTGAGACTTGTTAATTTGTAAATGCCAAACATCGATCTCCAGTTTCTAGTGATTTTGATTCAATCAAATGAAACCTACATTACAGACTGAGAATCTGAGCAATAAGGTAGAAATTGATGATTCAAATCAAATGAACCAAAAGCTCTGTTGCTCCTTCTGTTGCTCTTATATATATCGTACGTTCCAGAAGATCACCAGGCCTACCCATTGCAACTAATCGCAATGGAAGTGCTGTCTTGTAACTACTTTTGACTTGTGAGTAGGTTCGTAAGTGTTTTCTTTAGGATCTGACTTCTCTGCCCTCTCACTTCTCATACACTCTCATCCCCTTCTATTTATGCAGTCACGGTTAAGTTACGTCAATATTTTATATTACTATTACTTTTTATCTTATTATCTCTATAAAAAAATTAATATAAAATGTTGACATGGTTTAACTGTGATCGTACTAAATAGAAGGGCTGAAAATGTATGGGAAGTGGGAGGGAGAGGCCGGGTCCTATTCTTTATGTTATAAGTGCCTACTCTTGTCCCTTTCAATCTTTGATCGATCGAGTCGAGGCTAAGGAGTGCGGAGTGCTGAGTGTTGAATGAATCTCAACTGCTGAGTTTCAGCATGAAAAGTTTACGAGTTTGGACTAGCGGGTCCACTAGTGACTGTGGGACCTCCCACCCCTTGAGCCACCCGTCTCTGTATATCGCGGGTCAACATACATACTACTCGGTCTTTGCGAAGAGTAATGTTATTTATATCATATTTTGTATCACATTTTTATACTATCTTACGTAGCATTTGATGTGAACAACCATATCATTTGAATTAATCAAATTTTTAAATTTAGTTCATTATTTAATAAACTAATAATTAAGAAAAACTAGTTAATTAAATGATAATTGTGGTATACGAGAAGTCTTTCTCCTTTATTTCCTTGGGTTTTGCAAATTTTTCAAATAATATGACTGTCTACATCAAATGTCACCTAAAATGATATATAAATATGGTACAAAAATATGATATGAATAATATTACTCATTTGCGAAAATATTCTGCAGGCCCCGGCATGGCCACCAGCCACCACGCATCAATGAAAGGGAGCTCTTTTGTGCATGACATGAGGATCATCTTTCATTCTTCTTTCCAATGTTTCAAGCTAGCTTTTGAAATGTGAAGGTCACATCACAATTCAATTCCAATTGGCACAGTACCTCACTAGCTATATACGGTGCCTTTACCTTCCAGATGAAGCAAATATATACATGTATATTTATATATTTGGACCACGTGTCCTGTTTTCTCATAGAGATACGAATTATGTCATTTCGCTCTCTATATATGATGCATCAGATATATAATGAGAAAAATTAAACAAAATTCCTATGCTAGAATCCACTAACAAATAAGTTGAAGTCCATCAGCAATCCTTAATTTCTATTCTACAATAATATATATATAATCATCTATTAGAACCCGTAGCCGGTTGGACTCAATGTGTTTGTTGCCGCACGGAACACTCTCTCCTCCCAACTTCTGCACTCCTAACCAAATGAGTCCTCATGGTTTTTATTTTTAGTTATTCATTTGTACTAGTGAGCCAACATATGGTTTTTACTCCAGCCAACCTCAGTGATCCAAAATAGTAAGAGCATATTGAGGTATGCAATGTGTCATCTTATTAAAATGAGTGGTTTTCTAAGCTCAGAAATAACATGATTCATAGATTGGATACGCCATTTTGCCTCATCTACAACCATAACTAGTTTCTTTCCAAAGGAAGATAATCACTACTTATATATAGAGTCTATAGACTATATAAACTAATTCCTCTAATTCCATAACACACAATACAAATACATATATCTTTTAAATACAAAGTTATTGTAATAAATATGATTCATGTGAATTAACTATGGTGTCCGCTACATAGTTTGCATACGAATTCAAATATTTTGTATTCGCTTATTTGCGCTAGTCAGACCATTTTTAATATATATAGTAGCTTAAAATTTATTTTTTAATAAAAAAATATAAAGTTTGTGCTTTTTATATATACTGAGTAAAATGTTGAGTATCAACTATTTGAAGTTCATGCCAGCAGGCAGTAGGCCACACAAACACAATTAATCCATTAATTACCTATTAAATTATACAATTTAATCTAAAAAATTGTTAAAGGGCCGGCCATTTCATTTTCATCCTCACCTTTCTCACTTTTCTCCATTTTATTACCCCATTTATACAAATAAATAATTTTGTAACTTCCCATTTACTTCTTTCATACTTAATTAGCTAATAAATTGGCTAATTAAGCCAAAACCATAACCACAAAATCCCTTGAAAAACCGGCCACTCCTAGCTCTATAAATAGACTTCTATTTTCACCAAACACTCATTCCAACACTTTGACAAAAATTACAAAAAACTCTTCAAATACTTTTGTCTCTAAATTTTAACTTTGACATCGGAGGTTCTTCAACCAAAACCCCCCATTCATCGTGGGCGCGAGAGGCTCTTGGCTTTAACCTAAGGTATTAATTGTTTTGTAGGTGCAATTTTATCCAAGAAGAAGAAAGTGGAAATTTGCATTCACATGTACCATCTGTGTTAAGGTCACAAAAAAAATTTCTCGCATTCTGTGAACTTATTTCTGACAGATCACGTGTAAAGCCAAGCTGGCTTTTTGTCACCACAAGCCCACCTTGTGCAAGACGTTCGAGTACACGTGATGTTCACACGCGCGGCAAAGTTGCAGCCACCAACCAATTTTTCCACTCTTCCCCAATTAATGATCGCCTCCAGTCCACCACCACATTTCACTCACCACTCACTCTCAATCAGTCACTATATTACATAAAATTATATTGAATATGCACCTTTATGTCATTCGAATTTCGTGTGACTAGAAAATATATTCAGCTACACAAAAGTTTTAAAGAAAAATGAATGAAAATAACTTAAAAGTTTTGAGTTTTAACGAAAATGTAAATGAATAATATCAGGATTAACTTAAAAATATGATTTTTCATTAAAGTAAACCATACCGAGAGCTTTTCATTAAAGTTTCCAAATTTTAAAGGTAGTGGCTTTATAGATAGAATTTTTTTTAATTAAAATTAAATTAGTTTAATTAATTAATTAGAGAATTGTTATTTTAATACTTTAAAATTTTTAATTTATACTCTTCACGAATATATTTTTTTTTAATTATATAAAATTTAGAATGTAAAATAAGATTTTTAAAATGTTAATAATAATTTCATTAATTATAATAAATAAATAGATCACTTTTAACTATCAATTTTTATGCAGTTTAAAGACTAACTAATATTCAACAAAGACTAACTAATTTTATATTTAATTATTTTTTACAAAAGTTAGCCTTACATTTAGACTTACAATAAGGAAGAGGATACTCTCCTGAGCTCATGATGAGGATGATCCTGACTAGCCTATCTAAGCTGTTCAAATTTAATCTAATAGTTTCAAACAGGAAGATCCTCTAAAAATTATAATAATTGTAACAGTTGAATTAAGTTTAAACCACCCAAATAAGCTAGTCAAAATGATCCCTATCCCAAGTTCAAGAGAGGATCCTCTTCCTTGCAATACATACAATTCCATAAGAAAGTTTGTGCCAAATGAATATTTGACTAAAAAAATTCTAAGGCCAGAGGATGGTCCAACATTTGCCAGGTGGATGCCATTATATTTGTCTTCGAACTCGTACAAACACGAGCACAACACACGTCTTTGTCCTGCATGGCAACATGGACACTTTTTATGTGGTTTATGTGGAACCCATGCGCCATGTGGTAAGAACGAGACGTTTGTGTGAGGATAAGCTTCATGGTAAGTGATGCCCACACGCGCGGTAAAATTTGCAACTTGCAACCATGTGTATTTTGCAAATTTAGACATAAAACTGCATGTCTATCTTACTTGGAAGAACTTTTTAACAATTGGAACCTCACGGCAGAGGTTTTTATAGTTCAAAAGATCGTACGAAGAAATCCAAATACATGACAGTGATTGACAATTCAAATGTCACTATAAAGATACTTGAGTCAATAAAATTGTATAAAAAGTCAAAACAAATAATAATACATGATCAATTAATTATCGTATTTTATGCAAAATACAGCACAAAAACTACATGGGCATAAATTATTAAGAAATTATTGTGTAATTCAACAAGTAGGCTAAAAATCAATTATAACAATATTTGGTAGCGAAAGTTATATCACGTGACTTTGATACCTGATATCCATCATGTATGCCATAAAAAGTTATAAATTCAACTCATTTGGATTTTTGGACACACATAATTGGCATACAAACCTAACGCTAAGACATTTTGTTATTGGATACACATATTACAGAGACTAAACACGAATAGTCTGGCGTACCTACTATTCAACGAGGGAATATATAACAATTCTATATTAGATATGCCATTTGAAGTCGATAAAAAAAAAACATATGTCATATGAAGTATGAACATTCTTCGATGTACTATACAATTAATACAATATAATGTATTAGTTTTGTTTAAAATTAGGGTGTAATATCCACAAACCCTTCTGATTTTCGACCGTTTGATCGAATGAATCGAATAAGATCAAATGACATAAATTAACAAATGACGTTTAGATAGCCCATCTCTAAAGTCAAAGCAAAAGTAGTGAAGTTAATTGTTAATGAATTTGATACGTAATAGTAATAGTAATAAAAAAATATTATTTTTACTATCTATTTGTATCATCTGTTCAATATAATAATAAGAAATGTTATTATTTCTATTTATTTGTATCATCTTTCTAATTTAAATGAAATTTAAAAGTGTTAATGAACTTTATATTTATTAAATTAATAATACAAATACATGATAAGCGTGACATTATTAATAATAATAAATAGTATCCTAGGACGAGAACAATAACATTACAGGACACAAAATCTTGTAGCCATGGATTATCCAACTTATAAATATGAGTGCATAACTAGTCTCTTGGTCTTACTGTCGATACTTAAATTCCCAGCAACCACCGCAGAAACAAACAGACACACGTCAACTAGTCCTAGTCCACTGAGAGAAAACATAGGGAGAGGGAGAGAACTTTCAACTTTGTTTCAATGGCGTCCAAGAACCCTAGTGACCCAGAGAAGGCGCCAAAAGGCACTAACGGCGCCGGCGACCATTACCCACATCACGATTTTCCAGAATCGGACGGTCACGAGCCATGCAAAATAGAGGAGGTGGCGCTGGTGGTGCCGGAGACCGACGACCCGACGATGCCGGTGATGACATTCAGGGCATGGTTCTTGGGGATAACTTCCTGTACTATCCTAATCTTCCTCAACACCTTCTTCACCTACCGCACGCAGCCGCTGGCGATCTCGGCCATTCTCATGCAGATTACTACTCTGCCCATCGGGAAGTTCATGGCCTCCGCTCTCCCCCGCCGCGAGCACAGCCTCCTTGGGTGGCGGTTCAGCCTCAACCCCGGGCCCTTCAACATAAAGGAGCATGTTATTATTACCATTTTTGCGAATTGTGGGATTTCTTACGGTGGGGGTGATGCCTACTCGATTGGCGCAATCACCATTATGAAGGCTTATTACAAGCAGAGCTTGAGCTTTATCCTTAGCCTCGTTATCGTCCTCACCACTCAGGTTCCACCACCACTCGTCCCTTTTTCAGTTTTCCTTCTTTATATATTTTATTATCGCTTTCTGAATTTCATATTTGTCGGGTAGAGATTTTGGAAAATTATGATTTTACCACGCATAGATTATGGTCTAATGACCACTTTTTGTTCATAAAGAATGGATAATATTTGGATCCACTTAATTGCACTCCACTCTCATCATCTTTGCTATTAACGAATTTTCACTTTATGAATTTTATAATCGTAATTGTTCAATTTTTAACCATCATCGTCTCTATAAAAATCAATTATAAAAATCAAATATAAAAATCAAATCGTTTATAGTTGTATATATGTACCAAACATATAGCCCTTCAAATTCAGAAAAAGTTCATTATTTGTATTTTGATATAAAAAGAAAAAAAAAAATCATGTTTGTGGGTGGATGCTAGAAAATCAAGAAGCCAAATTGTTGGGCTTCTTCTCCAATTTGATGTGATTTTACTTTGAACTAATGTTTTTGTGAATAGATTTTAAATTCTGGGGTTTGGCGATCTGTTGCAGGTGATTGGGTATGGATGGGCTGGGATTCTCAGGAGGTACTTGGTCGACCCGGTGGAAATGTGGTGGCCTTCCAACGTTGCTCAGGTTTCTCTGTTTAGGTAAATGCTTGGTTTTTGTCATGTGTCGATCCTTAATCAATGTTCCCTTTGGTGGTTGTTGAGAATAAAAGTTCAAGATAAAGTCGAATTCTTTGGTCCTCAGCTAAACTGACTGATGATAACTCAAAAGAACATAGTATTTCATTCCTCGATTCTTAGCCAACCAAATGGAGTTTAATAGTTTCAACAATTTCCCCAATTTCTTATCACTTTTGAATTTTTCTTGTCGAAATTTGCTTTTTTTCTTTTGTAAAAGAATATGTTTTTGGATGAACAGGATTAGGAAAGAAAGTTGGTAAAACAAACTGCAGTCATATTCTACTTTCCCTTTTACATCTTTATGGTAAAGTGTTTTTGCTTTCCTTGCCAGTTTCCAATGAAATCATAAGCCATGTGTTGTTGCATGTTCAGTGGTTGAGTTTCTTGAGAACAATGTTTCATCATGCTCTGTCTCTTGAAAGATTGGAATAATATTTGTCACAATGTATAACCGCTCCAATTGTAAAGTTATAATTATAAAGGTCCATCTTATGATGAACGACTTTCTTAAATTGTGAATCTTGATTTGATGGGGAATTTTCTTGTAGGAAAAGCAAAACTTTTGCTGTAAAAGTAATCTTTCAATGGGCATAAAGTATAGAATTTGAATGTGTGTCAGTTGTTACTGGTTTGGTGCTTTAGTTTTGTTCACATCAATGACCTTGTTGCTGTTTCTGTTTTGCTGTTGTTGTAACTTGTCCGCAGAGCACTCCACGAAAAAGACCATAAAGCGAAAGGCCTTACCCGGATGCAGTTTTTCCTCATTGCCTTGACAGCAAGCTTTCTCTACTATGCACTCCCTGGCTATCTTTTCCCCATCTTGACGTTCTTCTCATGGGTCTGCTGGGCTTGGCCACACAGTATCACAGCTCAGCAGATAGGCTCAGGTTACAATGGACTTGGTGTTGGTGCCTTCACCCTCGATTGGGCTGGGATTTCTGCTTATCACGGCAGCCCCCTCGTCACGCCATGGACTTCCATTCTCAATGTTGGGGTTGGATTTGTCATCTTCATCTACATCATTATGCCTCTTTGTTACTGGAAGTTTAACACTTTCGATGCTCAGACGTTCCCTATATTTTCCAACAAGCTCTTCACTTCTACTGGGCATAAATACGACACTACCAAGATCTTAACACCCCAGTTTGATCTTAATATTGATGCCTATAATAGTTACGGCAAGCTTTATCTTAGCCCCCTTTTCGCTTTGTCCATTGGATCAGGATTTGCAAGATTTACTGCAACCCTCGTTCATGTGGCACTGTTTCACGGAAGGTTCTTTCAATTCTTAAATGACATAGCTTCTCTTAGTCTCTACATATTGTTAGCATCTGCATAGCACGCTAGATAGATATATTGATTTAACTGACTAAGTGATCCTTTATTCCTTTTCCTAGTGCTATTTTGAAGCAAAGCAAATCGGCAATGAAGAATGCGAAAATGGATATCCATGAGAAATTGATGAAAAATTACAAACAAGTGCCTGAGTGGTGGTTCCTTGTTTTGTTAACGGTGAGCATCATCCTGTCCTTGGTGATGTCTTTTGTGTGGAAAGAAACTGTGCAGCTGCCATGGTGGGGTTTGCTGTTTGCCTTTGTCTTGTCTTTTATCGTAACCCTCCCTGTTGGAGTCATTCAAGCTACCACTAACCAAGTAATCTTTCGATTTCTTGAATTTCAACCACCTTTGTTCTTGCATGTACTAACAAGCTGTGAAATATCATTCTAAACTCCGAATCATTTGTGTGACTTCTGTGCAGCAACCTGGATTTGATATCATAGCACAATTCATGATTGGGTATGTTCTACCAGGAAAACCAATTGCAAACTTGCTTTTCAAAATTTATGGACGAATCAGCACTGTCCACGCTCTTTCTTTCCTGTCTGACCTCAAACTTGGGCACTATATGAAGATTCCACCTCGGTGCATGTACACTGCTCAGGTATTTGATTCAGCACAGAAAATTGTGCTTAACCTTTCTGTTCTTGTTCCTAAAGGTGGTTATTCACCTTATTAAACTGACAGTTAATGATGTTTGTTCCCAGCTGGTGGGAACTCTAGTTTCCGGTGTTGTGAACCTTGCAGTTGCATGGTGGATGCTGGAAAGCATCGACAACATATGCGATGTTGAATCCCAAAATCCAAACAGCCCGTGGACTTGTCCTAAATACAGAGTCACCTTCGATGCTTCTGTTATATGGGGTCTGATTGGACCAAGGCGACTGTTTGGACCTGGAGGATTGTATAGGAACTTGGTGTGGCTATTCCTTGTTGGAGTTTTCTTGCCAGTTCCAATCTGGGTAATGAGCAAAATCTTCCCAGACAAGAAATGGATTCCCTTGATCAACATGCCAGTCATCCTTTATGGCTTTGCGGGGATGCCACCTGCAACTCCCACTAACATAGCAAGCTGGCTTATCACTGGAGGTATCTTCAACTACTTTGTGTTCAAATACCACAAGCGCTGGTGGCAGAAATACAACTACGTCCTGTCTGCAGCGTTGGATGCTGGTACAGCTTTCATGGGCGTCCTCCTCTTCTTCGCCTTGCAGAATCCAAAGCACGAATTGAAATGGTGGGGGACTACACTCGATCATTGTCCTCTAGCGACATGCCCCATTGCACCAGGTATTCACGTTGACGGATGTCCAGTTTTTTAAATAGCCAAAAAATAGTGGACACCAAGACATATATTTGAAGGATCAAACCTAACGAGGAGGGAACTCGTCGTAGTTGTGGAGGAAGAGGAGTTTGTACGTACACTCTTAGCAAACGTGTGGATTTTAGGGTTGGGAGTTGGTTCTAGTTTTTATTGCTCTCTAGAATAACCAGAAATGTATCATTCAGATGAAATGTATGGGTGTTATTGTTAATTATATAAGAATCAATTTAATCTGAATGAATGGGTAATACGTATGTTTCTGTGCGCTTTTAGCCAAAGGTAAATAAGTCCAACCGCATGGGAAAGACTCAATGCACCTCCGCAGCGTATCGGGTACATGCAAGTCTCTCTCCAACCGAATAACAGAAATAGTGTGATATTTCTAAGACATTGTATGGGTTTAAATTAGATAAACTACAACATCGAAGCAAGAAACGGATGTCAACTTACAAATGAATTAGACACAAAGAAAACTTATCCCTTCCACCTTGGTAGGTTTGGAAGGGAGAAGTTTTCTTCCTTTTCGATCCATCTTGTACCTTCGATCCGTTTCTAACCTCAATATGTATTGAATTTAGTAAATTATCCACTCCAGTCTAATACAAGCCACCAAAGGGTAATTAAATCTTCCAAAATACATACTTTTCTTAAAGCAAATATTATACGAGAGAGAGAGAGAGAGAGAGAGAGAGAGAGAGAGAGAGAGAGGGAGAGAGGGAGGGAAGTAGAAAATTTAAAGAGAATGCAGATAGGGTGATAAGGGTAGTCAACAAAATTCATTCTTTCACCCTTTTTCTTGTACAACTGAAGACAAACAAACAGCCAATAAGTGCGAGTGCAAGAATTAAGTATGCAAAAGAAGATGGATCAATGGTCATTAAGCAATGGAATTGTGTGAAAATACAAATCCTTCCTCAACATAACCGACGCCACGAAAATGGCATTTGACTCTGAAATTCATATAAAGCTAACTACATAATGGGATCCGTGGAGTCCAGGCAGACACTTTGTGTGTTTTTTTTTCTTTTCTCTTTTATCTCTGCAAGGACTTGTAGAGAACCACTGTAACATACTTCGCTATAAACCTCTCTGTTGTCCCGAGTGCCACTACAGATGGTCCACTCTTCCCTCTCTGCATGTAAAGATGATTGAGTACCACATGTTGAGGTCTTGACAAAGGAGGCGGCATCTCCATGTAAGATGAAGGTGCATTCAACAGTGTCATTTGTAGGTGTGGAGGAACCGATGGGGGCTCCTTCGCAAAATCTTCAGATCCAAGCTGCAGGTTGTTATAACTTGAGTCCGGCGACTGGGGAGGTTCAAAGCCGGAAATGCTTCCGATGTCTTCTGGAACGTAATCCTGCAGAAGAACCAACAATATCACACAGCTTACAGAACTCGCACATCCAAGCCCACTTTTCAAAAAAATTCAACACTCATACTTAAAACAATAGGTCGAGACTCAGGCAACCAATAAATGAGAAAATACGAGTGCATTCTGTTTGCATCTGTCATGCCACTATAGAGATTTAGAACTGGTGGCAGTAATTTAGAAAATATAAAAGAAAAGTACCACACAACATATTGATTAAAAATCCTCATAAAAATGTGCAATTTCAAAAATCTCTCTTACACACATAATGAAAAAGTGCTAAATTACACCAACTGAATGTCATTTAGTCTGATCCATAAACTCGCACTCTTCGCTAACATTTAAACAATAACAAAATTATCATTTCAAGCACTTTTTTTTATTTTTTTTTATCACGGCATATAAATTTCTCATCATCTCCAAGTTTGACTGAGTAGAGCTGTGCAAAATCAGCCGTAATTTGATCCTTCTCTTACTAGTCCTGTAGACAAAAGCTATAACTACCTACTCTCTATGTAATATCCAAAACAACACATGAAAGAAAGGGTTAATTACAGCTCACTGGAAAAGACAAAGATTACCATGAACAGGACCATATGAAATATCATTTTGTTTTTTGATAGAGACCTAGTCTTCCCCATCTCGAGTAGGGTTGAAAATAAGTTTCAGGAGGTTTTAACAATTTGGTAGGAGTTATACAAGATATAGGAAATCCCTGGTGTTTGTCTTGTATCAATGTGTTTCAAGTTAGAGGCCAACCCCAAGTCCAACCTGATCTACTTAATTGGGCTCAACGCGATTTACCTCTTTTGCAGACAGCTTTGTACGGGCTTAAAAACAGAAATTTGGATAGAGAGCTTTACAAACAGAAAGCAGATACACAATGTGGCGAAAAAGCAGTCTACTTAAAATGTAAATATGAATTTAACAGCTAAGTTTGTTCTTACTCAATACAGTTGTGGTGGAAATTGGTTCAGGAAGTTAGAGTTAGTTGGGTCATTCCAAAGGGTTGTTTCGAGCTTCTAAGCACCAATTTTGAGACTTTAGGAAAAGGGAGGACAGCTAAAGCTTTGTGGGGCTGTTTGGTGTTGGCAGTTTTTTGGAATATTTGGTTGGAGCATAACAGAAGAGTTTTGGAGGATTATAATGGAGTGGGGGTAGCAGACCTATGGGGTAGAGTAAGATACTGGGCAGCCCTCTGGGCATCAGTTTCGAATGAGTTCAAGGATTATTCTCTTTCTCATATAGTGTGGGATATGTTAGCAGCCGTAAAATGATCTTGGTTGATGTTATGTTACTTGTAATCAGATCTATTTGGGAGGTCTTAGCTAGCTTTGCTGGTGGATTTCTTATCCACTATTTTGTAATTCTTGTTTTTATTTTAATAAAGTGTTATCATTTCTTCTCAAAAAATTTAACAGCTAAGCTATGTTGAAGGTATTAATTATTGAGGCTTTCAAAGCACACATATAACAACACAAATTGTTGCTGAAGAAATTAGACTCTAATGACGGGAAACTTGAATGGAACGTATAAAAGGAAAGTTTATATGTATGGACTATGGAATATGGAATATGATATATCAGTTGTATGAATATGAGAAATATCGTCAACACAATAGAACTGATATTCCCTAGTTCATACGGCCTACTATCATCATTGAATAGTTAAAGGAAATTAAAATCCTGAAAAGTAGGATTTGCATAACAGAATTAAGTTGAGACTGGAAAAAAAAAAACATAAACAGATTAAGCTAAAAAAGGGGGACTTCAATGCTTTAACAAATTTGTATGAATACAGTTTCTAAATGATGATATTACAATAAATATCAAGCAATCCCTAACTCTGAAATGAGCTTTTCCCTGCTAAAGAATAGAGGACATTCAAAAAAAAGTTATACTCATTATTCCCTTATTCAATCCTACAAGAAGGTTAAACTACTTATAAGATCTGACTAGGAGTTTCCTTTATCTGGTTGAGATTATGAACAGTTATAAGCGATTATAATGGGGTTGTTACACTCATCCAAAGCACGTATCAACCTAAGAAGAGATGACAACCATTACCTGCAAGTCCAAAAGGTTGTAAGAATTGCCAGCATCATCTTGGGCCAAGGGCAAGTCAGGAGAACACCTCCACTGCCCATCAACAATAAACCTATATTGGTAAACACCGGATGGCAGTACTTTCATAATAGTGAAGTCCTTTCCTGATCTCTGTAAAGCCAATCTGAAAACCAAGATAGAATAAGAACTCAAGTAAGAGTTCACATGGTGCAAAAACTATATTCACAATCTAAACCACTTATTATTCTTTCTATTATTTTCGAAAACCTTGTCTTCCAATTATCCCATGATCCCTCCACAGCTACATCCTTCCCACCATAGCTCCATGTAATCATAGTCGGAATTCCTTGCTCACAGCACATGTCTTCAAACCCCGACGTTTGCATCCACGAGTTGTTTGGGATTTGTATCTCATCTGGTCTTTGTAAGGGAACCACAGGGACCTGGAAAAAGAATAATAATAATTGAACAAGAGGAAAAATATTATGGATCGCCGTAGATCAAATACATCAGTGTGAGTAACAGGCAAGGGTACAAGTAAGATAAACATATTTCAGGGCATTGACTGAGAGTATCATATATACTGGAGCAGAAGCAGATTACCAATGGTATTTCTAAAGGATCTTAGCATTAAAAACTTTAAGTGTTAGTATCTGGTAGTGCACCAAGAGACAGATTCATGTAAAACGGATATTCCAATTCAGAATTGGAGGAGGAGGAAGGATGTTGGTATCAAAATTATTACTTGGTTCGCGCAATCAGTTCCCCAACGATTAACCACTCATGTCTCTGTTTATGCTACAACAATGATCCAAAATACAGACTTGTCACAAAGAAACAAGAAATTGTATGATTTGGGCCGCCTCTTAGCAAGTTATCAATAAAAAGGAAAGAAGAATTGCACAGCATAATTCACAGAGCCAGTTCTAAGCTGAATCACAAAAGCCCCCAATTCTACGAAAAAAGCAATTCGATGGCAGTTGGGTAAAATTGAATCTCGGTGGGAAAATTAAGAAAAGCAAAAACCTTGAAAACAAGTAAGATGAGGAGAGAAAAAGGAACTGACTTGGGGAGTGAACATCAAAGGGGAGTGAGTGGCCCTAGGGCTATGAGGAGGTGATTGACCCATCAACTCAGCGGAGCCATGAACAAGACGGCCGCCGTGGGCAGGGCCCTCCTGCAAGATGCCGGCGGCACCGCTGTCTTCCTCGGCCGCAGAGGGGCTTCCACCACCATCTTCTCTCCCATTCACATTCCCCATCCCAATTGCTTGGATATGACCTCTGCTAGCAACAAGCAACAAGCAACAAGCAACAAGCACCAAGCACCAAGCACCAAGCACCAACCCAAGAAAATAAAACTACAGATGCATAATAAATACCCACTTTGCAGAATTGGAATCCAATCTCATATGATGAAACCTTAAATCCCACAAAGCTCACGAATTTGATTGATTGGGCGTCAAAACGAAAAGAAAGAGCCCAGCAAAGAGAACCCCCGTTTTATATAAATAGAGAGAGAGAGAGAGAGAGAGAGAGAGCAAGGGAGAGATTATTAGATTAAGAAGAGGGAGCATTAAGCAACAACAAACACAAAGAAAAAAGGTGGGGGCGGGTAGGGGCAGGGGGGCAGAATCGGCAGATGGAAAGAAGAAATGTGAAAAAAGGAAGGGAATGGAGGATGGAGGATGGAGGGTAAGTGGCAATAGTAATTTAATTGATGGATGAGTAATAATCGCAATCGTAATAATGATATTGAAGAAAGAATAATAATGGATGGAGAAAGAAGAAGTAATAATCTCCGATGAGTTTGGAAGACGGAAATGGAATGGTAGCCCAATGCCCAATCATTTTGTTGGTTTAATGGGGAAATGCCCTTGCTCCTCACGTCATCACATTTTGCCAAAGTCCTTCTTTTCCCTTTAATCTATAACCTTTTCTCTCCCTCCCACTACTCGCTCCCCCACGACACTTTGTTTTGTGGCTTCTTCCCTTTTGGGTTTGGGGAATAGACTTTTCCCATTGGAGTAATTACTAATGCATATATTACCTAGGCAATTAAATTGTTTGTCCAAAGTAAAAATAGAGAAGGAGCAAACGTGAATAAGATCGGTTGATCAGAATAACATAATCATACATTTCTACTTGAGTTTGAATTCTGTAGATTAGAATAATTTCGAATTGTCTTGTGAAAATGAAAGAACAAATAGAGTTTTGTTTCTTAGCAAAAAATGAATAAAAGTGAGAGTGCGTGTTGGGTTGGGTCGGGCATTTTGATATTAGGTTCCAAAAGGGCATACAGGATTGGTCCAATCACCCTCACGCACTCATTGGCCGGCAGACCCATCTCATCGTCCCCTATATTTTCAGACAAAAGGCCTCTACCCCGTAAAGCGATCCGAAAAACGGGAAAAGCGGCGAGAGCTTTAATCGAGAATTTGTTTTTCAGTGCGGCATTTAATCAAACAGATAGCGAACTACAGCGGCAGCCTCGTGAGTGACCAATTTCTGCTTTGTTTCATCGTATGATCCAAATCCTTTGCTGCTGTTGGGTTTTTTTTTTTGTCAACACCTACCGATGGTGTTGTTTTCTGTTTTCTTTGATAAAATTCCTTGATAAAAAAGCAGTCTAAGTTAACTAATCAAGTTTTAGGAAGGATAAACAATACAAACTAGTGTTTGGATTTGTAGAAAAGATCAGGCGGATTTGGATTAGTGTTCAAAATCCTGCAATTTGTGGCTGATCAATATCTTGAATGCAAAGTTTCATAGCCCAGAAGGTCCTTCTCAGAGAAAGAAATCTAATGCTGCATTCCTCGGTCCTTAGACCATCTCCAAAGAAAATGAAATAGAACTTTAAATGATTGTAATTATTAAAAAAATGTTGAAACAAATTTTTTATTGGTTGACATGTTAGTGAAATAAGAAACTCACTATTAAAATGAATTAAAAATAAATATAACATTAATGTCAAAATTTGACATCAAATCACTAAGTCTTCAAATCCAGTCAGCAAATAACATTTCGGTTTGAGAGATTTTTTATGTCAAATATGCAAAGTAGCATTCCACCTAGGATTTTGACATGCTCTTAAATGCTGATTTGTCAAATTGTCACAATCTTGATGCTTCCTGCATTTGAATTTCAGATCTTCTCCTCAACATGCACAGTATAAAACCATCTTGTGGCATGTGAGGGTAGGGAGCTCAGCCGAAAAATGGTTGCTCACCGAGAGAGGAACTTTGATCAAATCTCTGAGCCACCACATGTGTGCAGCAGCAGGTGCCGGTACTGATCAAATAGAGGACCGAGTGATGAACTCGTGAAGAAATTTGACAAAATTGATGCATCTGAGGGAGTTATGTTGTATCATTCACTGTTGTTGTTTAATTGGTTTCTCTGTCATTAGAGGACATCAAGTTAAGCAGTTCTTAAATTTGATCCCTCTACAGGTTTCTGAAACAGCTGATTTCCAAAAGGATTTAAGCCTGGATAGTTTAGACAAGTGTGTTTAGTCCTGCCTAATTCCCATATATGACATGATTTATGATTTCTATATTTAATATTATCTTGTGGGATTTTCACTAATGCCATTAACGAGCCTTATAAGGCTATAAAAATGCAGGTAAACCTTGAGCCGGATTAAGATCACACCTCTCAGTTTGCTTTGTCTTATAATATATGATATTCATCTTCCGAAGCATTTACATACATGATATCTGTCGTCACACTTTTCCTATAAAGGTATATACTTTATATCTGATAAGTACAATGTGTACAAACCCTTGCATATCAATGCTGTGACTGAAGCGCCATCCAGGATCCCTGTATAATATGCAATGGATCTGTACGATCATATCTTATTGTTGTTGCTTGCTTCCTCAACGCATGCTTGTGAAGGTTTAGAGGTCAAATGCTGGAACCTTATCCTGCCGGCAGTGTAGGTTCGGATGCCATTACCAACGGACGATAGTTTGAGTCCTTTGTGCCTCCTGACGGAAGCGGGTCGGCATTGTGCATTCTTTGGTATTCCAAGTACTCGAACACAACACGTTTTGTCCAAGTTGGGAATTGCATGCAGATTGGAAGGAAGATCGATCATGAAAACCCCAAATTCGTCTGTGATGCCTTGTGCCAAACTGGATTTTCTTCTCCCGCTGACACGGCAATTGACGGACACCAAAACACCTGCAGATTTTGACCAAAATAAAAGCAGATGGTGAATATACGCATCGATTGATTGAACAATGGTTTTGTAGTTAATTGGAAAGGAATATTAGAATTAATTGAATTTGTAAATTAAATTATCATAACATGACTTAATTATATATATGATTCTGTCTCATTGAGCCAAATATATCGCTAGCTCATTTTTTTTTCCTTTGAATGTTATTTTCTATGAAATTATTTCGACGAATTATAAATAAAAAACACCACAAAATGTGTAAAACGGTGTTTTTGCTTTTCATCCAAGTCAAATAAAGTGTAGCTTAATTAGCAGTATAAAGTCGATCGTGAATTGCTTTCTGTATCCATAGTTAATGGATGATAATACTAATACCGGTCTGCCTTGTACCCCATTTAATATGTCCAAATCAATTAGGAGAAGTTGATTTTCGCTGGTCCAACGTGAAAATCAAAATGTCAGGTGATTGCTTTAAAGAGCAGTTATTCACAAAGACACAGTTTATGTGTCTTCATAAAATATTCATAAAAAATAACGAAGGTGGTGGCTAAGATAATATCGTGTTTGATATATGAAGAAGAACAACTCCTTGGAGGAGACCACTTTATTCAAATTTTAGTTTCATAACCCTAAAATTCAAACTTATAAACTTATAAATTATTGACACGCTGAGCATGGATTCCTCAGCTCTTATATAATCTAAGATTATGATAAGGATATATCTAAGAGGAAAAATTAAAGGAAGAAAGACGAAAATGGAGTAGTGGTTTTATATTGTTGAAGTAGGTAGTCTAAATTTCTGCTGTATGTACATAGTTGGTGATATTGCGTAAATGAAGTTTATCAATGATGAAATTACATAACAAATAATTAAGGGTATAAAGTTTGCCACAAAATGGATGAGACATAAACAACAACAAGTGAATGCGTACACAACTAATTGCATGATGTAGGAAATTAATCTATATATGCCGTAAACATATATATGCAGATTCGTATGTAGATATATCATGATTGTTGAGCATTCAAGTATATAAATTAAGCTACACACCTGATAGAGGCCATGCATGAAGATGAAGCTGATCACGATCAGTTTGATCAGGATGCAAAATATTCAAATTATTATGATCAATACAAGCCTCCTCGCAATGGACGGAGCCTGTAATAAGGACGGTGGAAAGCTTCTCTTCTCCATATCCAGCAACCTGCATCATATCTTCTTGGCTGGACATCAGCTGCTCTAACGGGTTATTATTCATTTCATCCTGATGTACTTGTACCACTCCTCCTCCTCTTCCTCCTCCTCCTTGTCCTCCGTGATCATCAATAATATCCGCCATCCCCATTGAAATCGATCTCGTGATGAGGCTGCTGCCGATGATTAATAAGTTGAATAAAATGATGTAGCTCATCTTCAGAAGCTTGTTGGAGGCGCAAATATTGTAGTAGCTCATCTTCTTTGTGTTTCCTCTACGTGAGTTGATCATCAGTGCTCCTCCTTTGGTTTGGTTTTATAGTAAGTTAATGCCCTCGCGATGGTCCCATTTAAATTCCACATAATACCCTCAATCAATGGTTAATATTACGTACCTTCACAGTCCTTGTCTCCCACCTACATCCTGATAGAGTTACCCTTTTGCCCTTTAAATATATAGATGGATCTCCATGCATGCGTAGTGCATATTGCACAAACCTCGTGGTCGTGGACATGCCAACACCCAAAGAGGTTGTGGTTTTTGGTCATTTGATTAAAGAAGTTACTGCCACCTAAACAGAACAAAAGGTTATTCAAAACAAGACGAAATGGAGGGTATATCAGTCTTAACGACCTTTAAAAGGCAGAAGAAGTAGGGGAGGTGGAGGGGAAGTTAAATTGTTGGTTGGTAGCCTACTCTTGTTGTCTTCTACGTATTCTTTTGTGAATCAGATTTTAAGCGCAAAACACAAGCCGTTTACCAAGATTAAATTAATTAATTAACTAATTAATGACGCACACACGTACGTCTCGATCGGCAGTTATACATATTGGATAGGTTTGATCCAAATCATGAACATATATAATTTAACCTGAAAAGGATCAAAAGGTTGGGGAACTTTAACCTAAGTTTAATCGATCGGTGAATCCCAAACCCAATGCATAAACTTATATTCGTTATCAAACAAAGAAGAAGTTTCTGTTTGGGTGGGTGAACTGACCATTGCACTTACTTTGCAACCCTGCGCTATGTTATTGTTATATGTATATACTATAGCTGCATTAGTCTCGCACTCACGTATACTGCACTCGTGAAAATGGTTAGCGTTGAGACATGCACCTTGATATTTTATATAACATCAATATTCTTACAATATTGTTGGGGGAAATTGTTAACTGAAATTGTCAGTTGCTTGTTATCGTTGAACAACCTTCCCAAGCAACCATATAAATACACACCAAATTTCCAAAAATGAAAGTGATTTCGCATATTCAATGAAAGAAAGTAACCTAGAGATTAGAGAATGAAGCAAAGCCTAGGAATACAAAGTATTTATTTCTAAAATATTAATTTAGATGCGTTTTGGAAATTAACATATTTGTTTCTAACTCAAAATAAATTCCTAAAACTTTGAACACAACTAAATTTATATTCTTTTTCTTTCAAAATATGTAAATATTATGGCATCTGAACAATTCTTGAAAGTGACCCCTTAATTGTTGTAGGTTGCGCGAAATTTATGAATAATTATGTCTTTGTCATGAATTGCATTTCTTGCATCACTTTAGTCGTCCTTATTGTAAGTTTGTAACTATAGATCATTTGTTTTCCTCTCCAGGTTTTAAACAAATACAAAGGGTCTTGCACCCGCAAATTATTATATAGATTATAATTATTATTGTTTGAGAAATAAGTGGATAATCATGACTTGCCACCAGTTATTTCTTTTTTTTTTTAAAGAATTTTTTTTTTTTTTTGAGGAATTGTTATTGACACTCCAAAAATCTAAGTGTGCACTATAATTTGTTTTTATATATTTAACTCTTATAAGGAGTGCATAATTAACTTTTTAATTCAATACATTTCTTATGTACCCATAGGTGCTATATTGGATTTGAATCAGATTTCGGATCAATCTATATTGATTGACTGCCTCCATTATGTTGTTGCTAGTGTCGATAAGTTTTTTTTTTTCTTTTCCCACTTAATAATATGATACTTAAATGTGCAAATGGTGCCAAACAACCATCAAGTAGCTTCATTTTGCAGGTTGAGTCATACATATAAACTTCAAAGTGACAGCGCATCCCATTATATTGTTGATGGTTAACCAAATTAATGTGCAATTTGGGCTGCGATGGTTATGATGGTTAACCAAATTAAGAACTGTGATTAGGACATAAATTATGAATAAGACATGGACATGATGCTCCACTTTGTTTTACCATTTAATTTATACCATTAAAATTTAAAACTGTCTCCTCAAAGAAATAAATCATACCTTTAATAATACTGATATAGATCATGATTAGGGTAGCACAAATGAAAAGAAAAATATCAGATAAATAAATGCATGCATTGTGCATATCCTTAATTAGTGTTTTGGGTTTGGAGAAGTTCTTCTACTTGTAGCTCTAGCTATATCCTTAATGGGCCTTATTAGTAGGCCCTGAACCTATTGGATCGGGTAACTAATTCGGGTAGAGAATCTTGATAATTGGATGAATGTAAGAAGGGGATCTCAATTCATCATATATGTGCATATTACGTAGTGGAGTGGGGTCCTTTGTCCTATTACTTGCAATTGCATGATGAAATATGTACACTTTGGCAGTGGCACTCCGGATCAATAAAATAACACTTCGACTCATTTAAGCTTTGTAAAGTGGAAGTGTGGAACCCATCTTTAAACACCAACAATTAGCATATAAAATTTAGAGCGATTGCATGTGGATCATCAGAACCGTCTGAAGTGGACAATAAAGTACAAATATAGTGTCATCTGATCTTATTTTTATTGGCCATTGATGCATGATTAGTCCCATGCAAAGAAATTAATTGGAAAGTCGTTCAAACCTAAGGCTGACTCAAAAAAGTCTCTAAGCCTAAAGTTGATGTACAATGCCCTACACAATTGAAATTGATGATGGAAAGAGGTGGTGGAACAAGGCTGTATGTTATAACCAACTTTAGTTTGTTTTTATTTTGATTTGCATGTAATTAAACTCGTCTCTAATATTGGAATGCAGTAATCAAGTTGGATGAGGATAAGTACTGTTCCACAAGACCAGGGCCGGTCCAGAGATTTTTGAGGCCTGGGGCGACGCCAAAAAAAGTGCCCTAACTTCATATAAGAAAATTATTTATTTTCACACGTAAGACATTGATAAAATTATACTTAGAAAAACATTTCAAACTCAATAATTTAGAAACACAAAAAGACTAATTTATTTTGTATTGAGAGAAGAAAACCAAACAACTCTGGGCTTATAAGTAGATAGATGATGAATTTTGTTTTCCAGTTGAACTTTGAAAGTGTTTTTGTATAAATCATGAGGTGTTTTTTCTTATTTACTAACCTTGTCAATATGGGACTAAAAAAATAATGATGTTTTCGAGTCTTTAATTGATATGTATTAGTAATGAATGGGCATTAAATTAAATATTTTGATAACACGTCATATAATTTACAAATTTGCGCTAAAAATTTGGTCTACGTATTACTCATTGTTGAATATTAGACTTGAATTGAAACGAATATTTAAAAATAACAACCCACATAGCTACTAGCTAGTAACTAAAATAAAATTAACAACCAAACAAAAAATAAATTAACAACCAAACAAAAATTTGTAAAAATTGAAAAAAATAAACATGCACATAGCGTTTCGAACTTAGGACCTCTTGTTAATTTTAAACAACAAAAACCATTGCTTCTAATTAAACTTCTTGATCATTTAACCAAATTTTATAAATTTATACTCTTATGAAAAGAAATTTGTAAAAATTAGAAAGTAAATAAGCACATGTGGTGTTTTGAACTCAAGACCACTCATTATTTTCAAATGACCAAACCACCTCTTCTACTTAAATTTCTGTGTCATTAAACCAAGTTTTATAAATTTATACTCTTATGAAAACATATATAAATATATTACCCTAATAATTTTGGTGCCCCCAATATTTTTGGGTCCGGACGGTTGCCCTGCTTGCACTGGGCCTGGGCCGGCCCTGCACAAGACCTATAAAACAGTTGTTATAAAGGTGAGACTTTTATCCACTTCTGATTATTACTTACTGTAGCGTCTTAAACCAATAATTACAAATAAGGCAACATTATATTACAGTCGCAATTCAAAGTTGTAGGATAGATCCGCCCCTGTGCTCTAGATGAGCGATGAGTCTCGACCCTCGATGCATCATCTATATATCATGAATACGTGTGAGATCCTGAGCACATGCCAGGTGTCAAAATCTTATCGATAAACGAACGACCCAAGACCATCCCACATGTCGCAGACAAAGCATTATAATCTCCCACACCACAACATTTAACACCATACCGAGATAGCCAGTACTACTCCACTCTGAAAGCGTAGTCCACCCTCTCCAAGAGGCAAGAGCAGCAAATTTAGCAAATCATATTACCATCCTCCTTTGTCAATTCACTTTCATAATTTCTTAATGGCCTGATATCCTAATAGCTAGTCAAATTAATAATAAAGATCGAGTACTTGTCCCTCGTTCTGCCATCTCATAGGGCTCATACGGTCATACCTAGCTAGTATATATTGTCACGTAAGGAAGTGAACATTATATACATATATGGCTGACTCGGACAACGACTCGGGAGGAGGAGGAGGAGGAACGAGAGAACAGCAGAGAGAGCAGGACAGGTTTTTGCCGATTGCAAACGTGAGCAGGATCATGAAGAAAGGTCTGCCGGCCAACGCCAAGATTTCAAAGGACGCCAAAGAGACGGTGCAGGAGTGCGTCTCCGAGTTCATCAGCTTCATCACCGGAGAAGCCTCTGACAAGTGCCAGAGAGAGAAGAGGAAGACCATCAACGGCGACGATCTGCTGTGGGCCATGACAACGCTGGGGTTCGAGGAGTACGTGGAGCCTCTCAAAGGTTTACGTGCACAAGTTTAGAGAGATGGAGGGTGAAAAGATGACTATTAGTACCAATACTAGTGCTGGAACGGGAACTGGAATGTCCGCAGGCCATGGAAGGCACGCCGTTCGATATCATCGCGATCATGAGAGAGAGCAGCTGTATGTGCATGGTCATGGTGCTGCAAGTGGTAGTATAAATGGAATGTATGGTGTGATGTCAACGCAGTCCACGACCATGATGATGATGGGTCATCAACAACATCACCATCATGAAGGTCATTTGTATGGATCTGGTAGTAGACCCTCCACAGGGCATGGGAGACCAAGGTAGGGTTAAGTATATATATATATATAATGTTAATTTGGATATATATTCACAGTACTAATCGTCACTACAAGAAAACAACACATCTATCACGACAATTTTACCACGGACTTTATGAGCTCGTTGTAAAAATAAAATTTTACCACGGGCATAATAAGCACGTTATAAAAGTTAATTTTTCATTACAGACAAATCTTAGCCCGTTGTAAAATAACAGTGAATGACCACGCGCACAGTTGCACGTTGTAAATATACTAAGCCACTACGGACAATGCTCGTGGTCAATATTGTTAGTTCTATAACGCATTTTTGTTATCAACCACGGACATAATGTGTGGTATAATCATACACATAATGAAAAATATTTAGAAAAGGCGGGACACCAAATTTTTGGGAAATTTCAAACATCTTTGAGATTTGAAAATTTCACAAACTCTTTAAATCTCCAATCGCTCCTTTTTATTTCTAATCAAAATCCTATGGCACCAGGGATCCGATCCAAATTAAATTGAATCGCCAAATGGGAAAAAAAAAGGGGCTCACAAGAGAGAAAATGGTGGGTTCCTCTTTCTTTCTTTATCCTTTTTTTTTTCTTTCATCCCTTACACTTTATTTCCTCTCATGCCTGGTTTTTCCTAAACCTCATGAGTTTTGGTAATGGTTACTGTAGGGGCAAGAACAGCAGCTCATCACTAAATGGGAAGGCTCTGTTGACTGGAGAAGCCGACCTGCAATCAGAGGTCGCCATGGCGACATGCTTGCCTCCTCCTTTGTGCTGGGTATGTGTCTCCCTTGTGCTGCAATCAGAGATCACCATGGCGGTATGCATGCATCGATCCAACATATCATAAGTTATACCAAATAACAAATATAGGGTTATCTAAATTTTACATGAAATGTTAACCACTTGAGTGCATCAATGGGTGGACTTTTTATGTCTTACAAACTGAAACTTGCAGATTAACTCTTACTTCAGTAGAGTTCGAAAAGGAATTAAACATTATAAAGTATGGAAGCAGTTTGGGTTGCAAAATACGTGAGTTCGGGGAAAGAGACATTATTGTGATGAGGAAAACGTGGAGCAGTTATGTATTTGGAGATAAAGGCAGAGAGAAAAGGGGGAGAAGAAGGGAGACGTGCAGTTTCCCTCCTTTTACATTTCATTTATTTTATTTTGTGTTTTACATATTTATTCATAATCATAATCTATTTGAATTGAAGTGAAGTGATTCTTACCACAATTTTCTGCAATTTTGGTTGACAAAGAACCTTCTGTTAATAAATAGTATAAATTTTCCTAATTATCATATTGATTTCTTTTTCGGTTTTGGTTATTCTGTAATTTATTATATTGTAACAAATATGAAATTTTGTTGGTTATTTAGTATATAAATATTTAAATAAATATTTATTAAATAGATATTTTTTTTATTTGTGGAAATTTTTTTATAACGGGCATTAACTGTGGTCAATAAATAATTCACAACGGTCATAACACGTGATGTTAAATTCCAATCTATCACGGGCACAATCCGTGGTTACATTATGTTTGACAACAGGCATAGCCTGTGGTAGAAACTAAGATTTTTTATCACATCCAGATTACTAACGGGCATAGTGCCCGTTGTGGATTACAATTTATCACGAGCATTCACCGTGATAGATGAGCTTTTTTCTTCTAGTGCGTGTTTTGTATGCAATGGACGCGCTTTCATAGGGGACCGATTAACACTTCGAACTGGACATGAGTGAGCACAAATAAAATGTGCCAAAAACAGCTATAATTAACTAATTGATTCATTGATCTGAGAAGTTTGTCCGGTCCAGGAATACCTGCAAACTGGATGATATTGGTATAGCCGTATAGACATTCAGTTCACTCGTTTCCCTCCTCTCGTTTCCTTTGGAGGATGAAAAAGTAGGTGTGCTATTCACCGGTGAGAATAATGTTTTAATGGATCACATCACGATAACCCGCAAATTCGTGACCATAATTCCAAGTTTGCAACGGGCCAATGACCCCATTTCGTATATTCGAAATTCATTATATATTGTTATTCTAAATCATCCGATCGTCTGGCCTATTAGCTCAGCTGGTTAGAGCGTCGTGCTAATAACGCGAAGGTCGCAGGTTCGAGACCTGCATGGGCCATCTTCTTATCAACAGTTTTTCTTTTTAAAATTCATTTTAGCATGAATATGCATGCCTGTTGTTTTTTATGTAATTTTCTTATCCTCAACGGACGATGGCTAACACAAGTTTATCAATATAGCCTTGACAAAGACCGGAGATAATTTGTTATTAAACCATGGTTCTTATTACATGGTGGTTGTTACACTGCATCAGTGTAGTGTATACTTCACAAAGACGAAAGGCAAAAATTCGTTTATTAATTTTCTGGATTACAAAATAAATTCCCTTGCTCCGATATTTCCAGGACCGATAGATGATCAAACTCCACCGTCTCTCTTGGGCGCCGTACTACTATTATTCAAGTACAAGTAGCTCGCCTTTTGGTCATAAAAACTTGATGCAAGTAGTGGAGAAAATCCTGAATACTGCCCATCTATCTTTGTTTTGCATATGTCACTGATGTATTTCAGAAGCTCGTTATTCTGGACAAACGGTTGGGCTGCGTACTCATCAAATGGTATCCACTGCAAAGCCATATTACACCACACGACTGTAAATATAATTCAAGAGCTTCTATAGGTGCTGTATCTCTCCATTTTCTCTAATTCACAGTCAAGATGTATGCGGCACATCAATTAAGTTTACAACACCGCCAGACTTGTACGGAGTCACGAACATAGAAATGTTTCAGTGCGCAACGCATCAGTAAACATACTTTATTCACAGGGGAAATTGGGAAAGAAAATGACAAGGACTTGAAGAGGTATACACAGTTTAGATTCGTCCTATCTATGTGTAAAGGGGAGTTAATCACTGTCAAGATCGAAATAAATTTATGTCTTATCCTCCCTTAACTAAAAATTACCTGGGCTGCTTCAATCTCATGTTCCTGCGTTTGGATGTCATAGGAAAGGGGTCGCATCATGCACACAAAAAATAAATCTGACTTCTCAAAGAATGCCTTGTGGCTTTGCCTGCAAATTATAACAGTAATGGTATGAATACTATAACTATTCCAAAGAGCTAGAGGAACTACAAAGTAAACATGAGAAACGAGCGATGAGAATCATAAAATAAGCTTAAGGAAAAAGGAGTAGATTAATCATTCAATGTTCTAACATAATTCAGCCAGGAATATTGAGAAGTCTTTAAACCCAATAACAACCATGGCCTAATTTATAAAATAAGTTTGAACTTTGTAGTCATGTATTAGTTTCATAATCATAGATGTCCTATATGATTGTAAATTATTCACCAAAACTACATATTTTTAGTTAATTAACTTGTGAGTCCCTCAATCAGACTGGATTTGATGATTAAACATACACCAACACAGTTTCTCTGAAGAAAACACGATAAGTACCTGAATGCTAGAACTTCGACGAACTCCGAGTCAATCTGAAACCACAGGAAACACAGAAGAATAAATCCGTTTAGGAATCTAATATTTACACTCATATGTAAGGAAGTGTAAATTCAAGGTAAATACTGACTCCAGTTTCTTCTTTGACTTCTCTCACAGCAGCTACACAGATATCTTCTCCCTTCACAAGAGAATGTTTTATATATTGGTTAAACTTGAACCACACTCCATTGCTGTGACAATAAAAAACAAAACTTCCAGGAACGCAGACACACACCTCGTCTACAACTCCAGTAGGGAACTTCCACACACCTGTCCCCTGTAAAACCCCGCTCTTTTCTTGGACTGCTAGCACCTACCATTGAATTTTTACAAAACCCAAAAGTTCCAGCCATTAAAGCAGAGTCATGGAGAATAACAAATGTTGTGAAAGGTTCCAAACATCGCATCATCTCGGAAATAAAACAAATGGATCTCACATAAAATCTTAAAGACTAGAGTAACTCAAACTTGGAGTTTTGAGAAGCAAAAAAACTTGAAATTGACATGAGAGGGGGATAAAATGATCAATTGATAAAGGGGTTGGTACCATAGAATAGGGAATGTATGTATACCTGTCTAGTGTTGGGGTTGAGGACGAAAGCGCCAATTCCGACACGGTGGGTGGCATTGGAAGGAAGGGTGTGAGGCGATTGGGGAATCCAATACACGAGCATCAAATACATAGGCTCTGCATGATGGTACCAGAATCCTTCCTGCAATTCCCAATCCGTTCCTGCCCAACATCTATTAACTACTAGTTGTACTTTTTCACACACACACGTATAAGTATGTAATGTAAGGAACACCACCTTAATTAATTAACTAATCAATCAATCAAATATTGAGCATGAATAAATCACAGAAGTTAGAATGGGAGATTGACCTTGACTGCAACTTCAACAAGATTGACTCGTTCTATAGGCAACTTGATCCAAACACCCTTTTTCCCCTGCACCCAGTTATAAATCGTTCAACTGGATATATAAGAAATTGAAATTCGTAGTAAAATTAATAAATTACCTGAAGCTTCCAGTGGGCAATAGAAGAGGTAAGCAATGAAAGGAAGGTGGCAGGATCCATGGGATCATTGTCGTTGATGTGGACGATGACACCTCCGTAATGGTCATGCATACCACTTAGAACAAGACTTTCTGAACTAGTTTCACCTTCAGCGGCCATTGATAACGTTGTTGTTCGATGTCCACGACGATGCTGAGCCTCATCCCTAAGTCCTCAACCAACACCAACTCGAATAATGTTTTTAATGACTAAAATAGCCTTCTTATTTTCCTCCACATTTATTTTCAATGAAATTAAAATAAAAACGGAAGTAAAAATAAAAAAATAAATCAACACAGATGGCTGCTGATTGTGAGCCTGTTTTAATTCCCTTTCCGTTTACACTCCCAACTGTGGAGTATGGAGAAATCCGGCTACAATACAAACACTTATTCAGTACAAAATAGGCATCATCGTCAACACTCTAGGCAATGCAATTCTCCATTTGACTATGACTCTCTTCCAGTGTTTTTACGGAATTTATCGGTATATTTTACAAATGATGAAAGACACACAGTAAGAAATGTTCAGGAGAGTACAAAATACAAAATCTTTAATGCAGTGGAATTTCAAAGGCCTTGATGATCACAGTTTACTCTCTCTCTTGTGTGCCTTACTGCTATTCACGTACAGGTAGCTCTTTTGAAGAGAATAGCTTCTGGAGGGTAGAGGAGAAAATCCCGAATACGTGCCATCAATCTTCGCTTTGCAGATGTCGTGCATGTACTTTAGAAGCTCGTACTTTTGCACAAATGGTTGAGCTGCATATTCTCAATGCAGAAAGGTTACATTAATCAGATGGGGAAACGAGAAGAAAAATGATGATACATCATTCTACATTTTTAGCTCAACAAAGGGGTTCATACCTTGGCTGCTTCTATCTCTTGTTCCTGCTTCTGGATGTCAAAGGAGAGAGCGGTCGTAGCATGCACAAAAAGAATAAATCTGACTTCTCAAAGAACGACTTGTGACTCTGTCTGCAAATTACATGAATGGTAAGAAGGATATAATTTCCATTACAAAAGAAGAAAAGAACCAAGAACTCAACATCAGAAACAGTTAATGAGAATCGTTCGATAAACTTGGAGAAAGGCAATGGGATTTGTCTGTCAATGTTCTAACATAATGCAGTTTTTTTTCGGTCTGATAAAATAATGCAGTCAGAGGAATGTTCAGAAGTCCTTAATTCCTACAATAGTCAAGGTATCATGACCTAATATAGCTCTTGTTGGAGAGAATCAAGAATTCTTGTTAATCCACGAATACCAAGAAAAGTTGGATTAAACAATCACATGCAATGAAGATAGAACTCTTATCTATAGATTGAACTGAGACATAAAAATCTTGCTATCATCGTGCAGTGCATAAGAGTGAACGACATGCTTCCCCCTAAATACCAGTTGGAATGTAGCTTCATGCTCGCAGGTAAAAATTGCAAATCATTGTACAAAGTAGTCAGATTTAAGTTTATAAGCTTACACATGGCTCCACTCAATTGATAGACAAGGACTTCATACAATTCATACCTGAATGTGAGAACTTCCACAACTCTGAGTCAATCTGAAACAACATAATTAATAACAAAAAAAGTGAAACGAGAAATCGCATTAACAAGCTAATATTTACACTCACTAAATGGTAAGTCGGAAAACTACTTATCCTGTTTCTTCCTTCACTTCTCGGACAGCAGCTGCAAAGATATCTTCTCCCTGGGAGACGATAAAGTTTTTAATATACGGTTTTAGACTAGACTGAACTCTGAAGATCTGAGAATGGAAAACAATGCTTGTTGGAATGCACACACCTCATCGACTCCAGTGGGGAGCTTCCACACACCTGTCCCACGATATTGTCCACCCTTTTCTTGGACTACTAGCACCTATTGTTGAAATTTTATAAACCCAAAAGCTTTAGTCACGACAGGAGGATCATGAAAAACAATAAATGTAGTGACGGGTCTCAAGCATTATAAGTAACACGGCATTCTTCCGAAAATGGTTGACTGAAAATTAACATAAATGGATCTCACATAACTCTTTAGACATGATAAGCCAATTGTAGGAGTATGCAAGTCCAGAAAATTAATGTAGACATGAAAAATTCACTTATTCAGATGATTGTTCAATGGAAGGAACATAAACACACACACACACACACACACAAATGAAGCGAGCAAGATGGAAACTATAGATTTATAACTACATAAAGATAAAAAAGTTCCCTTACTTTGAGTAAATTAAATGAAAGTGAATGAAAGAAGCACTATGTGAACATTTGAGATAAAAGTGAATGGCGGCTGGGGTGTTAGAAATAGAAAATGCATATACCTCTCTGTTTTGATTGATGAGAAAGGCACCAGTTCCGACACGGTGTGTTGAATTTGTGGGAAGAGTATGAGGGGACTGAGGAATCCAATACACGAGCATCAAATAATCAGACTCTGCATGGTGGTACCAGAATCCTTCCTGCAATTCACTCCTGCCCAATATATCGTAAGTAATCTATGCATATACATTAGCAAGAAGAAGAAAAGCATGAACAGAGCTTGACCTTGACCGCAGCTTCAACAAGATTGACTCGCTCTATTGGCAATCTGATCCAAACACCCTTCTTTCCCTGTACAAATATTAAGTTTGGCATATTTTTTTCTTTCTTAAACTTGGTATTACTAAGGCTTTGTTAAAACTTAAAATTACTATAAGAATCCCAATGAACCGCGCCTACGCCGACGTAAGGGTCTGTATGGAACTGACCAAATGCTGTTGCTTATCTTACCGCATTAGCGGGAGAGGAGTCAGTGGCCACTGTTGATCAAAATTAACAAAAGAAGGGAGGAATGGGCACACACGTGGCACGTGAGATGATCACGCAGTAGGCACGTGACTCCACTGACAAAATTGAGACCTCCGTAAATTCAAGTTTTAAAAGGGCCTTTTACCTCTATTTTACTTTCCATTTACCAAAATTCACTGCGTTTTCACCCACCGCTCTCAAGTTGTCGACCCAAAAACCCTCGCCCGCGCCGCTGTTATCTTTCCCTGGCTTTACCTCCTTTTTATTTTTCCTTTTGTTTTTAAATAAATATGTAAAAGAAATTGAATTTCTCATTTTTACCGTGGTCGTTCCCGGGGGCGTGACGTTTATGGCAGAGTTAACCGGCGGGCGGCAGTTACCGAACTCGGACGCCTTTGGAGAGCACATATCCCCGTTCCCTGAGAGCACATACGACCTTGTGTTCGAGAATCCGACGCCCGCGGTTCCCTCGCCGCCCCAGAAGCTGCGTCCTGTCAGGGGCAGCGGCGGCAGGTCTCCGATGGACAGCGGAGGAAAGCTGGAGGATGTTGGTCCGGCCAAAGTTGGGTCGGGAGACGACGTGGAGGACGAGTCCAGGTCAGTCTTTGTTTTCTTTAACTCCAATCCAAAGCTTGAATCTTTTTGTTAACCAAACAAATAAAGATTGTTTCTTTATTTATTTATTTATTTTTATCATAATTGTGTTAGCAATGGGGTAATTAGATTAATGGATTATGGTCCGTTAAATTTAATTTGGTGTACTGCTGGTTTTTGTATACGGCATGTCGTGTTATATAAGCACATGATGATGGTTTGGTTTAGTAACTTACTCTCATCGATAAATAATTGTATTGTTTTCCCATACAATGACCCATAAAATTTAAAGATAATTGGTGGTTTGCATATTCCTACATATAATGGTTGGTTGGTCTAGACTGTGAAGTGTGGAAGCTAGGAGCCTTTCTGTCTTTGAGATTAAACTTTGACGTGAGATTGTGACTTGTTGGCAATTTGAAGGTTGATTAGTGTTTTGTTTATTTTACTAATCATAATTTGAAGTTTGATCAGAGTCTCCTAAACAGTTAAAAAAAGACATTGCTTTTTTAACTAGTACCAGTTTAACAGGGTGTTGAAATGTATATTGTTTTAATCAACCAAGTTAGCATTCCCTTACCATTTTAACTTCAACAGCCTGTTGTCTATTTTCGTTCAGTTCATCGGCGGATGATGATGATGATGATCGTGACAAGTGTTTAAAAGCACAAGGTGAAGAACCCATGAAACGGAAGAGAAAGACAAGTGTGAGGAGCGGAAACAGGCTTGAAATTGAAAGGGTCGAGCTTTTTCTGGAAAGTCTGGTGAAGAAAGTGATGGAGCAGCATGAGCAGATGCATAAGCAGTTGATAGAGGTGATAGAAACGAATGAGAAAGAGAGATTAGCAAGAGAAGAAGCCTGGAAGCAGCAGGTGTTAGACAGACTGAAAAGGGATAAGGAGATAAGAGCCCAAGAGACATCTCGCAGCCTTGCGCTCATTTCCTTTATCCAGAATTATTTGGGCTCTGAAAATCAAGTCCCCCAACCATCACCATCACCAGTACCGGAACAAGCACCCGCACCAGCACTAGCACCAATACCATTATCGGTAGTACCTAATTATGATCATCAACGGGTGGAAGGAAATGGAAAGGCAGACAATGGCATGCAGGGAGACCTGATGTTGGTGAGTAGTGATGCAACGAATAGAAGATGGCCAGAAGCTGAAGTACAAGCCCTCATAACGCTGTGGGCTGCTTTCGAACACAAGTTTCACGTCGCAGGTACTCCAAAAGGGCGCATATGGGAGGAGATATCTGTTAAGATGGGAGAAATGGGCTACGTCCGGTCAGGAAGGAAGTGCAGGGAGAAATGGGAAAACATCAACAAGTATTTCAGAAGGTGCATGGGACCAGACAGTAAACGTTCTGCAAATGCCAAGCTTTGTCCATATTTTCATGAATTGGAGTTGCTCCACAAAAGCGGACTTGTAAGTTTCGGGAATGGCTTTAACCTCACAAGCAACCAGAATGAGGCCAAGATTGAAAAACAGGCGCAAAAGAGTGAAAAAAGGAGTGATGACGGTATTCAAGCCTCTTGTGCTTTAGATAACGGGGATGCAAGTGAAGGCAAGTTTCAGAGAGAGAGAGAGGGGGATGAGTTGAGATGAATGCTGGGGCTCCCCTGCTCTGCTCTTTGATGGATGGCTAATATTATCAATTAGTGGTTTGATTGATGTTTAGGTCGGTCATTTTCTTCTTGAGAATTATCTTATATCTCTCTAGTGAAGGTTAATTTTGTTGTATCTTGATTGAACTTTTTATATCCCATTGAGTATTGACAATTAACTTTCTAGTGCGACTGTATGAAGGGCTTGCATTTAGCAGAGGCGTGGTGTTTGCTTTGCTAATCGAAAGAGGGAGACGAACACAGTCGCAGCCACCCAAATAGACCCAATTCCTTGATCCATATTTTCTTCAAATGTTTAATTATGATACCAGCACTCGAGTAGTGATGAATGTTGAGGAATGGTGGCGGTGGCGGTGCTGCCATTTGCCATGCTGGTGTTTATGTAATCTGCACGATGTTTGTCTGTTTAGGGAAACAAAACCATGCCCTGCCTGACCAGAGTGTAAAGGACATCGTCGCCCTGCCGGCCGTGGGGTTAAGAGTTACGACGTACTCTTTCACGAAATTAAATTATTAAGTTCACTGTATATCTTTTCTTTAATAAATAAATAAATAAATCACATTATATATTTGAAGAGCGCGTCTTGGATTGGACTGATGAACGTAAGCCCACTACTTTTTTACATTTGGGTCAAAAGAAAAAAAAATGAAAAGAAAGGCCCAACTAAGAATCACGTGATCCGGTTTGAGGGATCCGTCTCAGAGGTGTTGGACCATTTTACCGAACTCTAAAAATAAATAAATAAAAATAAAATGAATACGCGGCGCTATGATTGCCACGTGGGCTATGTTTTAAAGCAGTATAAAGGTGGACCCTTGCCAAGCAATAGCTGGTTCAAACTTGACTCGAGTCTTCTCCTCTTTCAAAAACTGTTGGGAGAGTGTGAGAGAGTGAGAGAGAGAGTGAGACTGAGAGAGTGTGAGAGAAAGGCAGATCAGGGCAGGAAAATATAATGAAACGATCAGGAGGTTTCCATGGCTACCAAAAGACCGCAACCACCCCAAACACAACCTCTGCTTCTGGTAAAAGCTACGTATTATTTCACATTTCCTACAATATATCTATACACACACATAATCTTCTTTGACATATATGTGTGTGTGGCACTATTTTTATATATCTATTGCATTACATGTCGTTAGATGTATATCTCTTGGTTAGTTTATAGTCTGTCTTCTGTCTGTCTCTGAAATCTATCTATAGGTGTACACTCTTATAAGGAAACGCATGCATTTGTGTAGATCTTGCACCAATTTGATGATCATTTATTTCACAAGTTAATTTTTAATTAGTTCTAATTCCATTTTCATACAGTTGAGAGGTTTCGGCTCTTTTGTACTCATCCTTCGATATATCGAAGCTCCATTCTTGAAGATTTAATTATCATTTCATTCTGTTTTCAATTAATTGATCAGTGATCACATACAGACATCCTACCTCCTCCCTCCCTTCCAAAGTCGATCTATACATAGATCTGTTCAGATTCCTCGATATATTGATATATATAATCACGATCTGATAATTATGCATTGTGGTTGAGAGTATTTATGAATCTCACATTTGAGAAAGAATGAACATTACATGTGTTTTTAATTAATTGAGTCACTTTTATTATTACTAATTAATTTTACGATGAAATTTTTTTTTTTTCATTTGAAAAAGATATTGCTGATCTCGTCCTCTTAGGCTCGTAGCTAGAGAAGAGAGAACAGTTTACAAGTGGCAACCATCTTACATGCAATCTGTGACTCCATACCGAACAAGTGGCCTCCATGCATGCATATACATATACTATCACACATCCCCCGGCCCCACTCCACTTCACTCCTCATCCATCCCGCTTTAGACTTCGGACAAGGATTTTCTGCCCTCCCACTTTCAGTGCCCTCTTATGCTCTCTTATTTATGTGATCACGGTTAAGTCAAATCAACATTTTATATTACTATTCATTTTTGTTTTATTATCTTTATAAAAATAACAATATAAAATATTGACGTGGCTTCACCATGATCATATAAAACAAGAGGGCACAAGAAGTGGGAGGGCAAACAATCATTGTCCTTAGACTTCTTGTCTCTGCCTGTATTCCGCAATATTATTCTAATTTCCCATGAGTTTTAATTCTTATATCGATTCAGGAAAGACAAAACCCTAGTTATATATAATACTGAAATACGTCATTCCTTCTCCTTAATTTGCCTTCCAAAAATAAACGTACGTACCGCGGGAACTAAATAGTCAAACTTCTATAGGTTTTATTTGTTTTTAGACTTTTTTTTTTCATTTTCTGTCTGTATATTCATGGCCTTTTGTACAAATGAAAATAATATTAATGAACCAAAACAAACATAAACGTATTGCAAGTATTATCCATTTTCACGATCATTCGTACACTCATATTAATTGAGAGTCCATGCAGGGCTGAAACTATCAGATATCAACGTGAGGCTGGCTGAGATGAACCAATACAGCATGGGGATTGGGAGACAGACTACGGCCACCACCAACGTTAACAATGTTTTCAACAACAACAACGTTAACCCCTCATCCAATGCCAATACCACTAATGGCACTGCCGATGATAACGACTGCATGGTGCGAGAGCAAGACCGTTTTATGCCGATAGCCAATGTGATAAGAATCATGCGCAAGATCCTTCCCCCACATGCCAAGATCTCTGACGACGCCAAGGAAACCATCCAAGAGTGCGTCTCCGAGTACATCAGCTTCATCACCGGGGAGGCCAACGAGCGCTGCCAGCGTGAGCAGCGCAAGACCATCACTGCTGAAGACGTGCTGTGGGCCATGAGCAAGCTCGGCTTTGATGACTACATTGAGCCACTCACCCTCTACCTGCACCGCTACCGTGAGATGGAGGGCGAGCGTGGGTCCTCCACCACCTCTTTGATGAGAAGCGAGTCCTTGGCAAAGGGGGCGGGTACTAGTAGTGGTACCAGCAGCAGGGCAATGGATCACCACCAGTACTATGGCAACTCTATGGCGGCTGCTGCGGCTGCTTTTCATCATCAGCATGGCCATGGCCTTTTTGGTTACATGCAGCCGTCCAATGTGTCCGTCTCCAACAATAATGTGAATGCTGCTTCTGCTGCAGCAGCATGTGGATCGTCCACCCAGCTCCAGGGTGGTGGTTCTGCCGCAATGCCAAATGGTGATCACCATCAACCACATGCAAATGGTGCAAATGGTCCAAGTGGTGGAGTGTGAATGCATGAAATGCAATGAAATGAAATCACCAAAGTGCTGACTGGTGAACTGAATAATGTAATGTTAGGTCGGTCCTTCGACGACAAGTAGTACTGTAATAAAATTAAGGACGCTGAAGTTTTAGTTGTCTGCATTAATTGGGGTGTTTTTGCTTGAATCTTAATCGATGACCGCACTCCATCCGGCATTGTCTCTACGTCTAAACCTTGGAAAGATAGTCGGGACACAAAAAAAACATAAACAGGAATTAGCTCCCAGCGAGGATCGAACTCGCGACCTTTCGCTTACGAAGCGAACGCACTACCACTATGCTATGGAAGCCAATTGGTCTTTTTTTTAAATTTTTTCTATAATTAACATTTGTAGATCAACTGTTGCGAAACATCATACACAAACTTAAACTACTTCTGTTATCTGTTCACGCTTAATAATTCGTTAATGATCTAGTGGTATTTCTTTTTACGTGAGAGATTTTAAGTTTGATTATCGTCAAAGACGAATTTGAATCACATTATTACTAGCCCATTATGAGGGTTAGCCCACATAATATTGTCTGTTCAAAAAAAAAAAATTGAAACTTTCATGTGGAGACGGGAGAGGCCATCATCAAGTTAAGGAACCATATATACTTGAATTTGTTTGGATACCGTTCAGAATTCTCCAACCTTTTTTTATGGCTAAAGCAGTTGCCACCTTGCCGTCGTTTACAACTTTTCTTTCTTCTAGTGTTTTTTCTATAAATAAATTATAAAACAGAGAGTCGAGTCAAGAGTATGTATTAATTCATGCAAAAATAAACCCCATGGATTTCGGTTGGGCGGCCATCAGATTCAAAAGTAGTAGGTACGCCTATGGGATGGTGGAATTACGAGCTTGCTGAATGCAGAACATATAAATTGCATGTCAAATAGCAGGCTTCCTTCAACTTTCAATGACAAAATGTAATGAAATTTCAATTATCATTCTTGTATTGGTCGTCTGCCGTTACAACAAGACACCGAAAATAGGTGGTGCAATGTTAAACACCAACGTAAACATAGACAGAAAGTCGCATTCTCTTAAAAAATCATGCGATCGGAAGGCCCTTGACCCGAGCACACTGCTTTCTGCTTTCAAATTGCTCATCTTTCTCTTCATTTTCTAACATCATTCGCTTGTTTAGATCGCTGATCTGAATCAGCCGGGCATCCCCTTTTTCTTTGAGGAATCACTTGGAAGAAAGCCTCCTTCCAATCCTTTGTTTCCATATACTTTAGCAGTATCTCAGTCACTTGATTCACAGTTAGCACCTGCTCCCAAAACAACAATTTGATAACTCAAACCTCTATGGACCAACTGGATCGAGAAACGGCGAAAGAAGATATACACATTATGAATGACATATTTCTGTTCTTTGTAAAAGAGAGACAGATAATAGTTGGGAAGAGGACATGTTCAAGTAGTTGGCTATGGGGAGTTTGGCCGTTTGGATACCCTGCTCCTCTGCTTTCTTCATGGTGATCCCTTTCCACCGATTACGATCCACCAATCCCCCAACAATGTAAATTTTGGTTTGCTTCTCGTTTTCCAAAGCTTCAACGTAGGATCGATCTTCCTTCTCTATGATCCAATTATGAAACCCCGGCAGCTTCTTCAATGCATTCCCCATCTCTCCCTTGCACGCTGTCAACCGCAGATGACCCGGCTCGCTGCACCTTTTGTTCACCGCGTAAAGAAAAGATAAATGAAAACTAACCAAAACATCCTCAAAAGTTTCACTTTAATCAATCAGGACAAAACTTGGCAAAAATACCAATCATGCCCTTCATACATCCATACAAGATTGCTCAGCAATGAAGACAACATTTTCAGAAAAATTTTGCATGCCAAATATAAGGTGGCAAACATTGCAGCAACCAAGACAATATGGATTCACGTGGCCTTCAGCAGTTTTCAGAAATAGTGCTGACAGCTTTCAGAAACAGTGTGTAGATGTATATTTACAGCAAGACAATAATCAGTCATCAACCTTATTGAAAGCCCCAAAATTTCAAAGAATAAACAACAGAAATATATTGGAAGGTGAAAGAAGATAGAGAAAGAGATGCGGAGCTAATAGAAGGCGATGAACAATATTGGAATAATTTGTCAGAAGAAGAACTGCATAACATCGACAACATGATGGAAGCCTGAAGAGCTAGCCGTAAAATTAGCATAAGTTTAATAACATAATATAAAATGATGTATTCCCAGACAGAAATGTCAACATCTTTGTAGATCCCGCTATAATGACATAAGAGTAAATAAATAAAAGTACCTGATTCATTATGGACATTTCATACACAAAATGTCCTTATAATTAAGAATGAATAGTTATAGGCCATTTTTGTTAAAACTTCCAAAGAAAAAAGCCCTTTGGTCCGTTTAGCGTCTATTAAGGACCCCGTACCCTGTTTTTAAAATACATTGATATTATCTACATTAAAGGAATGGAGTGAGTTTAGCCTTCTTAATACGCTAGCAATAATGTGGTTCAAATTCGCCTCTGGCGGGAATAGAACCTAAGACCTTTCACTTACAAGTGAATAAGAATATTACTAAACCATAGTACTAAGTGGCTAAATACATTGAATTTGATACTTTAGAATAAGAACACTTTTAAATGGTATTGAGACCGAAATAAAATATAGAATAAAATTGGGGGTTTTAATGGAAAACTTTCGATACTATTTACTTTAACGAAAAATGACATTTTTATTTTAAATAGTTACTTATGGTACTATTCACTTACAAGACCTTTCTATTTTTTTTATTAAAACTCAAAAATTTTAAATCATTTTAATTAGTTTTTCTATCAAATTAAAACGTATGAAAACCGACAAGCTGCGTCAATTTAACAATTGTGACCGGCTGCGTCAATTTAACAATTGTGACACAGCTGTCCATGTATCTTCGACCAAACGAGGTATCAAACTTTCCACTTTCAAGTACCATGCTCAAAAGCATGTTACGATGTTGGCATTGCATTGATTCCCCCCACCCATTTGTTGCTACCTATGATTTGGTATTTTTTTGTATTACTTTTCTTTCGGTATTTTACAACTTTATCAAATCAAAAACTCATAAGAGCTTATCTTTGTGATTAAACAAGCACAATCAAGTTACTGTGTAACTTATCAGGAATCTAATTTTGTTCATAAATGATATTTAGATGGTGAAAACAAGCAATTATGACACGTACATGGTAAAAGTTCTTTAATCACAAATTTGTAGACAAGTAAATGCACCCTAACATGCACATAACGATTGTTCTTGCAAGAGTGATCCAGGGTACCTGGCTCATTTGGAGTTTACTATGAGTTATAACTTATATTCATCTTCTACTTATAAATAAAAAAAATTTAAGTTATAGCCCTTGTAGATAGTAAGTAAGATATTAACTTATTTTTCAGTTTCTTGTAAATACATTGTTGTATTAAAATTTTTTGAAAGCCTTTTTTTTTTTTTTTTATCTTTCAGAATATCTCCAAGCAATCAAAACTAGGACATGCCCTGCCACGAGAGGTGTGCATTTTAGTGCAATATTTCCTAGCGTCGTTCAAAAGGTTTCAGAATGGAACAAGCTCAACTAATAATATGCCTTGATATTAAAAAGGGCTAATGTTAGAGGGATCAAATTTTCAAACTAAATTTGTAAACCAAATGACGTGTCATTAATAGAAAATAAATACGTTAATAAATATTTAAGTAATAATTCAATCATCGACATCCACCTCATTTGGTTTACAAAATTTAGTTTAAAAATTTATTTTCTCTAGTATTATCCTTTTTAAAAAAAAAAAAGAGAAAAAAAAGGTGTTTGCCCAAAAAAAAAGAAAAAAAAAAGGACAACTGTGGTCAACAGGGACATGACTGGGAAATAACTAAAATATAACGGCAATAAAGGAAATGCGCCATCTATAATAAGAGTTGTTAATATATAAAGGGATAGGGGCAGAACTTGAGAAGTCAAAAAAATTTCTCTTACATTTTCAGTTCATTTCGCATCGTTGTTCGAAAGGGCCAACCAACCCCCCGAGACTCGAGAGAGAGAAACAAACTCGGGCACACTCAGTGAGTCACGGCCCAGAAAAAAAGACAGACAAACAAGAAGCTCCTCTTCCTCCACTACCTTGATTCTCACCCTTATCGACTCCATGAGGGAGGTCTCACTGCCCTGAAACGACAGCTTTGCTCCCTCCCACGAAGAGATGGCCCAAAAGCTCGAGCAGCTGCTCAAGGAGGTGGGATCGAAGCTTGAGACCCCTCATTCTTCCAAAGACGCTCTCGTCAAGCTCTTAAAGGTTTTGCATTTCTCTAATTCCTTATTTTGTGTACCCAATTTTTCTTCTCCTTCGGAATTATTACTCAAAAACTTCTCCTGTTTCGCGGAAATTGACGCTCGGTAACGTTTAGTTATTTTAGTTATTTTCTGTTTGGTTGCTACGAAACCGGTGAAAAGAAAGCGAAAGTTAGTACTACAAATTTTGAGTTCCGTTCATTTTATCTCCTTGGTAATTTCTTCGTCGAGATTGAAATTCTCGGCTACAGCATATAAATTAACTAGTTCAATTAGGGTTTTGGTGAGGAGATTAAACATAGTTAGCCTTAAGATTTCAAATTACACTTCTTTTTTGGATTTTAGGGATTCAACCGAGTGTTCAGTGAACTTTCTCTTTTTAGAAGTTTTGATTTTCTTAAATTTGAACAAGTTTGGGGGACAATTTCTCTGATTTAGGGTTAATATACATGCCCTCGTGCTGTGTGGTGGCTGGTTATGTCTGTGGTATTTAGATGCGAAAGAAGTGAGTGGAAGAAACAAAATCGGGATTCCAAGTATTATGTTCACTTGTGAGACTGCTCCAGATTTACTTGTGGAAAGATTCTAGATTTTCTTTATAACTGGGAAAAAAGTACATGACTTGACATTGAATTCTCATGATTTGTTAAATTTAAGCACATCCGATGACAAAAAAACATTTTTGCTAGTTGTTTTGCAATGTGCCAACTATCAGTCCAAATGTGAAAGCGTACTGTACCCATTCTATGTGATAAATATTTCAGTGACCTAATGTAGTTAGAAGTTTGAACTTGGTAATATTGGAAACTGGAGAATGGTGTCGCACTTAAGAGGATCTTGATGGCTTTGTCAATAAGGTTTGCTCTAAAAAATTATACCACAATGGTGCACTGGTGCTTGGTTAAGTAGTGATGCAATTGTAATGACGTTTGACTAAATGTTCTGTTATGTCTCGTTGGAAGTTTTATCCTGTGTTTATGTACGGTTCTTTCAGTTTACTCAAAATTTTAGTTTGTTTATAGCCAGTAGTGGAATAGAAATATAGGTTTGTTATTCTGAATTGCAAAATGACTATAAAAATCATGGAAATTTCAATGTTATTTTATATTTTCTCGTGATGATAAGAACAGATCTTTATGATTTCATCTTTTCTGTTAATCCATTGTTCCACCAATTAATGTCTGTTGCAATTTTTCAGTTTCAAACGATACCCTGAACATTCTTCTGATAATCAGTAAAGTGGATGCATATAATTGTGTGACTTGTGTAATTTGCATGTAAATTTAGGTTGAATTTAAGATGCTATTATTATTGATTATTTTCTTCCAACTTGCAGCAAGCTGCATCATGTCTTTCGGACTTGGATCAAGCACCTCCAGCGTCTATGTTGGAGTCAATGCAGCCTTTGCTTAATGCAATTGTCAAGCCAGAACTGTTGAAGCATCAAGATAGAGACGTCAAGCTTCTAGTTGCAACTTGTATTTGTGAGATAACTCGGATTACTGCACCTGAAGCTCCTTATAGTGATGAAGTGCTAAAGGTGCATTTATTTTATTAAGTCAGCTGGTTAAAGGATATACTGCGTTTTCATTTTGTCAATGTGTACTCTCAGTCTCACCTGATTGTTCCGAATATCTTTGCAGGATATATTTCACTTGATTGTGGGAACTTTTAGTGGATTGAAAGATACAAGTGGTCCATCATTTGGTAGAAGAGTACTCATTTTGGAGACTCTTGCCAAATATAGGTCATGTGTTGTAATGTTGGACCTCGAATGTGATGATCTGGTGAATGAAATGTTCAGTACATTTTTTGCAGTTGCCAGGTTTGTTTTGTTTCTTGTAATTATATGTATATGACTTTGATTTTTGAGGAATATCTTGTTATCATATCCTTCAAAGCATATGATCATCTCTCTAAAGGTGTTCCTTTCTTTTCACTGTGTTTCATGAGTTAATTTATTTTGATTAAGTTTCTTGAACTCTATAATCTATGTTGCTATATATTTCCAAGATAATGTCTATAGATCAGTCTGATAATGGGCATCAATTGGTTGGTTAGTTTCAAAAATAGCTTTCCTATAATGATAGAACAAAGATGCAATACTTGAAACAAGAGAACATTTATTGCATAAAATGTGAATCCTTCAAATAGAAAGTTAACATGGGATACAACTAGTAGCAACACATGTTATCTGCTAAAACTTAAAAGTGCCCAGGGAGGGGGTGGTTGGGTTGCTGTTAATTGGTTGACTGCGTTTCTTTCTTCTTTCTAAATGTTTATTATTGAAGGAATAGTTTCTGCTTCAATTTAATAATTAATGTCTTGAA